CTTCAGTAGGTCATATGATTGAGTGTAGTCTGGCCCAGGAGTGTGAAGGTGAACGGAAAGGCTCTGGAGCAACGAACAGCCCTTGCTGTCTCTGCCAGGCCGGTTCCCCTCTCTCCACTGGGGTTCTCTGCCTCTAACCCTGTTACAGGGGCTGAGTCACTGGCTTGCTGGTGCTCTTTCATGCCGTCCCTAGGAGGGGTGCGTCACTTGAGTGGGTTGAGTTACTGACGTGATCTTCCTGTCTGGGTTGGCGCCCCCCCTTGGTTTGTGCTGTGGTGGAGACTCTGTGGGCTATACTCGGCCTTGTCTCAGGATTGTAAGTTGGTGGTTGAGGATATCCCTCTAGTGGTGCGGGGGCTGTGCTTTGGCAGAGTGGGTGGGGTTATATCCTTCCTGTTTGGCCCTGTCCGGGGGTTTCTTCGGATGGGGCCACAGTGTCTCCGGACCGCTCCTGTCTCAGCCTCCAGTATTTATGCTGCAGTAGTTTATGTGTCGGGGGGCTGGGGTTAGTTGGTTATACCTGGAGTACTTCTCCTGTCTTATCCAGTGTCCTGTGTGAATTTAAGTATGCTCTCTCTAATTCTCTCGTTCTCTCTTTCTCTCTGAGAACCTGAGCCCTAGGACCATACGTCAGGACTACCGGGCATGATGACACCTTGCTGTCCCCAGTCCGCCTGGCCTTGCTGCTATTCCAGTTTCAACTGTTCTGCCTGCGGTTACGAAACCCCTACCTGTCCCAGACCTGCTGTTTTCAACTCTTAATGATCGGCTATGAAAAGCCAACTGAGAGACCTGAGCCCTAGGACCATACGTCGGGACTACCGGCCGTGGTGACTCCTTGCTGTCCCCAGTCCGCCTGGCCTTGCTGCTATTCCAGTTTCAACTGTTCTGCCTGCGGTTATGGAACCCCTACCTGTCCCAGACCTGCTGTTTTCAACTCTTAATGATCGGCTATGAAAAGCCAACTGAGATTTATTCCTGATTATTATTTGACCATGCTTGTCACTTATGAACATTTTTGAACATCTTGGCATGGTTCTGTTATAATCTCCACCCGGCACAGCCAGAAGAGGACTGGCCACCCCTCATAGCCTGGTTCCTCTCTAGGTTTCTTCCTAGGTTTTGGCCTTTCTAGGGAGTTTTTCCTAGCCACCGTGCTTCTACACCTGCATTACTAGCTGTTTGGGGTTTTAGGCTGGGTTTCTGTACAGCACTTCGAGATATTAGCTGATGTAAGAAGGGCTATATAAAATAAAATTGATTGAAAAATTGATTGTATGTCGTGGTAGAAAGGGCAGTAGAGGATAAAATGTAATTCTCTATTTCTTCGAGGTCACAATAGTTACATAGTCTTTCCTCTTCCATTTCACCACAATACCGACCTGTTTCAATACTCAGGGCAATATCCCTGATCTTACCTCTCACTAACGAATTCACCCTTAATCAAACAAAAGGTTCTCAATTTGGGTTTATGATTAATCTCCTCCACCCATTTATTTTCATCCACTGGCTTCCAGTTGAAGCTCGCATCTGCTACAAGACCATGGTGCTTGCCTACGGAGCTGTGAGGGGAACGGCACCTCCGTACCTTCAGGCTCTGATCAGACCCTACACCCAAACGAGGGCATTGCGTTCATCCACATCTGGCCTGCTGGCCCCCCTACCTCTGCGGAAGCACAGTTCCCGCTCAGCCCAGTCAAAACTGTTCACTGCTCTGGCACCCCAATGGTGGAACAAGCTCCCTCACGACACCAGGACAGCGGAGTCACTCACCACCTTCCGGAGACACTTGAAACCCCACCTCTTTAAGGAATACCTGGGATAGGATAAAGTAATCCTTCTACCCCCCCCTCCCCCCCCCCCAAAAAAAACAAACATCATATTGTAAAGTGGTTATCCCACTGGCTATAAGGTGAATGCACCAATTTGTAAGTCACTCTGGATAAGAGCATCTGCTAAATTACGTAAATGTATATTGCATCATCAGTTGTTTTTTAATAGCGTCTATGTCTCCCTTAATTTGGTTTTCGTACAACTCTTCACAGTCAGACTATTGGAAAAGGTCAGACATTTTAGTTGCCCAGGCTCCCCCTATAGAGAGAGCCCATTGAAAAACTGCTGGCTATTCTGGCAGTTGGCATATCCAACAGTCTATTCCAAAGTTTCACCAGACACGCCTTTCATCTCACCTCACAGGGTTCCCAGCCCATGTCCCCAGTTATTGCCAGTATAGGTGCAAACTTGTGAATACCTAAAAAGAAATAACGAACTGCTCTGTTATGGACATGTTAGTTTTTGCGATACCTTTTAGCACCCCACACTCCTGCTGAACAGTCCAGAACAGGACACACGCATGTCTGATACAGTTTGGAATATGTGGCATAACCAATATCTTAGAGTGTTTTAGTTTTTCCTATAACTCCCCCAAGAGCTCTACTTGTTGAGTCTGCCAGGGCAGATGTGCCGTAGAGAAAGGTCATATGTTCATAAAAAGAAAAAACTGTTGAGAAATAAAAATAGTAGCTCTTTTTAATCGTGGCCATTGTTTTTAACACACAATTCCGTTTAGAATTGTTGCGCAATGATTGGGCTTATAAAAGCCTGTTTCACTCTAGCAGCAACCAACAGTTGATTGATGAGCTGTAGCAGCTGCTCGAGCGCTACATTGACTAGTATTTAAATCAATTAAGAGACTAAATTGCATTATTTCGCAATGGGATTATACTTTTTTGAGGACAATTGGCCAGTGCCAATTCTTTTAATCAGCTTTTTTTTATTTTGGCTATTACCGGCTAGAGGAAACTCTGGTGTTGGGGGCTGTGAATGTGCCTGCATGTGGGTGTGCATCTGTGTGTTTTCCAACCCTCAATGTCACAGGCATTTGTCTGAAACCAGGCCAAATTCTTTAAATTGGCCATTGGTGTGTCCCAGTCTGACAGCCAGCAAACCTCTAGTCCACTCCCTTTCAGTCATCTCACCACTGAACGGGGGCTAAGTGTCTATTTTAGCCTCCAAGTATCAGTCAGAAGCGCTAGCTAGTAGAAGCACTCTTACAGCTAGGATAGGCAAGGCTATGCTCCTAATGGGATTAAACAGGTAGAGCTCATTGCTAGCTGTCTTATCATACGGCAGGTTCATTAGCATTCCAGTTCCCTCTACCCCTCGTGCCCTGTAGCTGTTAGAAGCACCACTCTTTTGATCAACTCTACACTGACGTGTAATCGCCAGCAGCCATTCTGTAAAGCTCCCACCATGGATAGTGCTTACAGAGGGGTTCACAATGAACTACCTAAGCTAAATGCAGCAGCTATGTAAATGCACTTGTATAGTTTTTCAGTTTGAGGCTACTTGAACATGAAAGAACAAGAGGAATGGAAACTTGGATAAAGGTGGTTCTTACAGTTGTGTTCGTTTATATACAGTTAACCAGCCCACATTTCTTCATATTAACTCTGTTTATACACTAGGCTATGTCAGTGTAAAAGTTGTTGTAGCTATTTTATAAAGCAGTCTTACTCATGGTTCCCATTGCCAGGAATTCATAGAGCCCTCAGTGTCACTGCAGGAGGAAACTGGCTGTTCTGGAGCCGGGAGGAGGGACATTTTGGATCTGGATGTCCCTGATCTGGAGAAGGCTGGAGCCACTGAGACTACTGCCATCTCTGTGAAGAGTGGAGTGTGAGTATCAATCAGATGACCAAGGTTGGGGTCAAATCAGGTAAATTGAAATGATGTCTACTTCCTGAATTTAAATGGAATTGACCCCAACCCTGCAGAAGACCAGTTACAATAACATCTCAATAATATAAAGTTCACATAGTTTCATATGACTTTGTCATTCACTACTCTCTGTACCTCTGTGTTGCTGATGGTCTCCGGGCTTTGCTGGGTTTCAGATGGGTGGCGTATAGCGAGCGATGCTTCAGCGGAGAGCAGTACATACTGGAGAAAGGCAAACATCCTGCCACTCTGCACTGGGGTGGCAACTATGGAGCAGCCAAGTCTATCAGACCCATACGATTGGTGAGCTCCGTTTCATAACCTATTAGAGGAATAGATCTACATATTTGTATTTGTACAAATAGGAGTGTCATAAGAGTGTCATAAGAGTGTCATAAGAGTGTCATAAGAGTGACAAAGGAGTGAAATATGCAGATGATATCCCTCCTATGTCTCTCCTATGTGGCACAATGAAAAATATACACTGAGTGTACAAAACATTAGGAACAACTTCCTAATATTGAGTTGCACCCCCTTTTGCCCTCAGAACAGCCTCAATTCGCCAGGGCATGGACTCTACAAGGTGTTGAAAGCGTTCTACAGGGATGCTGGCCCATGCTTCCCTTCAATGCTTCCCATAGTTGTGTCAAGTTGGCTGGATGTCCTTTAGGTGGTGGACCATTGTTGATACACACAGGAAACTGTTTAGCATGAAAAACCCAGTAGCGTTGCAGTTCTTGACACACTCAAACCAGTGCGCCTGGCACCTACTACCATACCCCGTTCAAAGGCACTTAAATCTTTTGTCTTGCCCATTCACCCTCTGAATGGCACACATACACAATCCATGTCTCAGTTGTCTGAAGGTTTAAAAATCCCTCCCCTTCATCTATACTGATTTGAAGTGGATTTAACAGGTGACGCCTGGTCAGTCTATGTCATGGAAAGTGCAGGTGTTCCTGATGTTTTGTACACTCAGTGTATGCTATAGATGTTGGAAAATATGACTTGGGAAATATGTCAAGAACTCTTTTTTTTATTATTGCAGGACCTTTGTGGCACCGGAGAACCAATGGTCTTGGTATGTATATGGAATTTCACCATATTGTTTTCACCTGTCAAAAGGAGACTAGTGAAAGGGGCAATTTTTTTTGTATTGAGATTCAGCCGTGAAGTGTGTGCTTTTGTATCTCCAGCTGCGGGCCTACAGCCAGCCCCACTACGGGGGAATGAGTGAGCAGTACGAGGGGGAGGCAGGGCACTGTGGATCTGCCTCCCCCATGTCCTTCAGAGTCATCAGGGGAAAGTGAGTACTGGAGGACTACCTACCATTGTACTATTGGATCTGTACTGATCCTAGAGGTGGAGTTATGTCCCCCCCCTTATAGGTTGCTTATTATGGCTTGTCAGTACCCCACAATGTATCTTTAATTGTAGTTGCCATAGGAGGCAGAGAACATGTGTCTGTGATGCTGATTTATTTCTTACTCACACTTACTGCTCTTCCTGACCCTTTCCAGCTGGCTGCTCTTTGATGAGGATGGTTACTGTGGAAACCAGTACGTCCTGGGAGAGGGTCTTTATCCCGACCTCATTTCCTGTGGCTGTGTGGCCACTTCTGTCAAATCACTGAGACCCATTCCCTATGTGAGTGTACCTGGCATAACCTCAGCCCATTTACAGATATCTTTAGGTAGCACAACAAGCTAGATGAGATACGTGAGCACACATGGAGTTTAACCGTATTATATGCCATGATAAATAGATTAAGGTAGTTTCCACCATTGCAGTGACACAAACGACAACCTATTCCCCATAATGCACTACCTTTGACCAGAGACAAGTCTTAGTATGACTGGCCAAAAGTTGTGGACTGCTTTACGAATATAAGGGGGTTTTGTATTGTGTCCTAATATAGTTCAATACAGTCACTTTGAAAAAGGATATAACATGCATACAGTAAATCCAATGGCGTTCTCATCTGAGATGGCTGCCCTCCCTTCCTGTTGTGTCTGTAGAGTTTCTCCGACCCATCCATCAGCCTGTTCTCCCTGGATTCCTTTGAGGGCCTGAAGATGGTTGCCGTAACACCCACAGAGCACATCAAGGACTTCTTCACTCAGTCTCTGCGGGTTGACAGTGGACTGTGAGTAGAGAGAGAGCCTGTCATCTCATATGTCACTAAACAGCTAACATTATTGCCAGACACTATACAGTACATAGAGAAGGAACACAGTTTCTTTGGCCTCAGACCTGTGTCATGTTCAGTAAGAAAACAAGTGAAACAGGGAGGTACTACCCTAACTTGTTTCAAGACGTTTCTCTACATTGTGCACTAATGAATATGTGTGTCTTTGGCAGGTGGGTGGTGTATGAATACAGTAACTATAAGGGCCGTCAGATGCTCCTGCAGCCAGGGGAGCTTCCTGTGTGGGGAGAGCACAGTGGCTGGGACACCATTGGCTCCTTACGGCCCCTCAAACAGGTACAATACACACAAAACTGACATTTGAGTCGCTCTCATCAAAGTGTCCTTTGTTACTGCATAAGATTCCACTGACTAGTTTAAGCCGGGTGTACACTACTCGATTTTGGCCCTGATTTAGCTGTCCCACACAAGCTTTTGAGATCGGAAACAAAATCCCCATGTCGTTGCCTACTGGGGGCGCGGGGCCGTCGCCGACGCTCATTTAATGTGAGCGGGTCAAAGACGCAATCTGAGGGCTATCGATCTCGTCTTTGAGCAGTCACAGACGCCCCGATATTTTCAAACATGTTTGATTTTATCGGCACAAATTCTGCAGTGCTCTTGCAGTGTGAGATGTGCAACGACAAGTTTTGAGAACGGTGATGAGCAATAGCCAATAAGAGCTTGCCAGAGAAGAAGCCAATGAGATGATGACGTTGTTTCGCATCACCCAGAATGTGTAGACTCTCCAGCAGGAGCGATGACTACTACTAGTATGCGTTTGTACTTGCCTTTAACCAAAGCCAAAGTGTCAAATCGTTACAACTCTGAAGTTCACAAGCAATGTTATTCAATTCAAAATGTCGGCTAGATATTTCAACTCCGAATGGCAAGCGTGACTATCTGACTGAACGTTTATGAGGCTGCTTTGAGCCACAGCTCGTAGCTACGTTAAATCTAATCACATCATTGTTTTCGCGAGACAGCGTGGTATCGAGAATCCTCACGACCAAGTGAAGAATCTTGTAGTGTCTGACCCTGTCTGTGCCACATAGTTTAGTGTGCACACCACTACATTGGCAACACAAAATAAACTACAGGAAAGACGGTCATTTCATGCGAGAGGCTCAGCAATGTTAGGATTTTTATAGTCGTGTAGTGTCCACCCGGCTTTACCTGTATGTTCACATTCCATTGGGGGGTTGTGCATGTGTGTGGTGATGTTGTAGTGTAACTGTGTTAGGGGGTTGTGTGACTGACACAGTATTATTATTTTAGCTGTGTATGTGCATGCATGCGTGTGTGCATGTTTTTAGAAGAGAGAGAGAGTGTTGTACTCTTCTGCATATGGGGTTGTTGTTGAGTTCTAGCATGCAGTCAACACACAGAAGCTCCATGCTTGGGACTTTGAGCCTGAAGCCTGCTGGGTACTGATAAAACCCACTTCCCAGAAAGTTATTTATACCCTGTGAGAGACAGACAAGGCTTAGCACTGACGTGTGTGTGTGTGTGTGTGTGTGTGTGTGGCGGAGCACTACTCTCACACTGTTTGTTGACAAGACAGACAGGGTGTGAAAGGGGTCGTGGTGAATTATACCTGTCACTCAAGCTGATTTGACTGAAGCCATATGCAGCTATATAAGTTATTCCACTTACACATATTCCATGATGTGGCATGGGTCACGTTTCCCATTTACCTCTGAGTGCAGCACTCTCGTCTGTGCAGTGTAACATGATACTAATGTTACAGTTTCAAAATACCCCGGTATACAGTATAACCAGTATACAGCCCAAGCCTAGTGCTATTTTACTGATGATTCAGTACTACAGTGCCTACAGAACGTATTCATATCCCTTGACTTATTGCACATTTTGTTGTTACAGCCTGAATTCACAATGGATTGAATCAATTTGTTTGTCTCCCATCTACACACAATACCCCATAATGACAAAGTGAAAACATGTTTTTAAATGTTTTAGCTAATTTATTGAAAATGAAATACAGAAATATCTCATTTACATACAGTACCAGTCAAAAGTTTGGACACACCTACTCATTCAAGGGTTTCTTTATTTTTACTATTTTCTACATTGTAGAATAATAGTGAAGTCATCAAAACTATGAAATAACACGTAGTAACCAAAAAAGTGTTAAACAAATCAAAATATATTTGAGATTTGAGATTTTTCAAATAGCCACCCTTTGCCTTGATGACAGCTTTGCACACTCTTGGCATTCTCTCAACCAGCTTCACCTGGAATGCTTTTCCAACAGTCTTGAAGGAGTTCCCACATATGCTGAGCACTTGTTGGCTGCTTTTCCTTCACTCTGCAGTCAGACTCATCCCAAACCATTTCAATTTGGTTGAGGTCGGGGGATTGTGGAGGCCAGGTCATCTGATTCAGCACTCCATCACTATTTTTCTTGGTCAAATAGCCCTTACACAGCCTGGAGGTGTGTTGGGTCATTGTCCTGTTGAAAAACAAATAATAGTCCCACTAAGCCCAAACCAGATGGGATGGCGTATCGCTGTAGAATGCTGTGGTAGCCATACTGGTTAAGTGTGCCTTGAATTCAAAATAAATCACAGACAGTGTCACCAGCAAAGCATCCCCAAACCATAACACCTCCTCCTCCATGCTTTACGGTGGGAAATACACATGCGGAGATCATCCGTTCACCCACTCCGCGTCTCACAAAGACACAGCGGTTGGAACCAAAAATCTCCAATTTGGACTCCAGACCAAAGGACAAATTTCCCCCGGCCTAATGTCCATTGCTCGTGTTTCTTGGCCCAAGCAAGTTTCTTCTTCTTATTGCTGTCCTTTAGTAGTGGTTTCTTTGCAGCAATTTGATCATGAAGGCCTGATTCACACAGTCTCCTCTGAACAGTTGATGTTGAGATGTGTCCGTTACTTGAGCTCTGTGAAGCATTTATTTGGGCTGCAATTTCTGAGGCTGGTAACTAATTAACTTATCCTCTGCAGCAGAGGTAACTCTGGGTCTTCCATTCCTGTGGTGGTCCTCATGAGAGCCAGTTTCATCATAGCGCTTGATGGTTTTTGCGACTGCACTTGAAGAAACTTTCAAAGAACTTGAAATGTTCCGTATTGACTGATCTTCATGTCTTAAAGTAATGATGGACTGTCGTTTCTCCTTGCTTATTTGAGCTGTTCTTGTCATAATATGGACTTGGTCTTTTACCAAATAGAGCTATCTTCTGTATACCCCCCTACCTTGTCACAACATAACTGATTGGCTCAAAAGCATTAAGAAGTTGCATTTGCCTGGGCGGCAGGTAGCTTAGTGGTTAAGAGCATAGTGCCAGTAACCGAAAGGTCGCTGGTTCTAATCCCCGAGCCAACTAGGTGAAAAATCTGTCGATGTGCCCTTGAGCAAGGCACTTAACCCTAATTGTTCCTGTAAGTCGCTCTGGATAAGAGCGTCTGTTAAATGACTAAAATGTAAATGTAAGAAGTTCCAGAAATTAACTTTTAAGAAGGCACACCTGTTAATTGAAATGCATTCCAGGTGACTACCTCATGAAGCTGGTTGAGAGAATGCCAAGAGTGTGCAAAGCTGTCATCAAGGCAAAGGGTGGCTATTTGAAGAATCTCAAATATAAAATATATTTTGATTTGTTTAGCGCTTTTTTTGGTTACTACATGATTCCATATGTGTTATTTCATAGTTTTGATGTCTTCACTATTATTCTACAATGTAGAAAATAGTACAAATAAAGAAAAACCCTGGAATGAGTAGGTGTCCAAACTTTTGACTGGTTGTGAAAGTATTCACACCTCCTGAGTGAGTTATAATCACCTTTGGCAGCAATTACAGCTGTGAGTCTTTCTGGGTAAGTCTCTAAGAGCTTTGCACACCTGGATTGTACAATATCTGCACATTATTCCTTTTAAATTCTTCAAGATCTGTCAAGTTGGTTGTTGATCATTGCTAGACAGCCATTTTCAAGTCTTGCCATAGATTTTCAAGCCAATTTAAGTCAAAACTATAACTATGCCACTCAGGAACATTCAATGTCATCTTGGTAAGCAACTCCAGTGTATTAAAATAAACTGAATGGAGCTAAGCACATGTCTTGTGTTTTAGGTTATTGTTCTGCTGAAAGGTGAATTCATCTCCCAGTGTCTGGTGGAAAGCAGACTGAACCAGGTTTTCCTCTAGGATTTTGCCTGTGCTTAGCTCCATTTCCTTTCTTTTTTGTCCTGAAAAACTCCCCAGTCCTTAACAATTACAAGCATACTCATAACATGATACAGCCACAACTATGCTTGAGAATATGGAGAGTGGTGCTCAGTAATATGTTGTATTTGGTTTGCCCCAAACATAACACTTTGTATTCAGGGAAAGTTAATTGCTTTGCCACATTTTTTGCAGCATTACTTTTGTGCTTTGTTGCAAACAGGATGCATGTTTTGAAATATTTTTATTCTGTACAGGCTTCATTCTTTTCACTCTGTCAATTACGTTAGTAACTACAATGTTGTTGATCCATCTTCATCTCCTATCACAGCCATTAAACTCTGTAACTGTTTAAAAGTCACCATTGGCCTCATGGTGAAATCCCTGAGCTGTTTCCTTCCTCTCTGGCAACTGAGTTAGGAAGGACGCCTGTATCTTTGTAGTGACTGGGTGTATTTGATACACCATCCAAAGTGTAATTAATAACTTCACAATGCTCAAAGGGATATTCAATTTCTTTATTTTTTTGCCCATCTACCAATAGGTGCCCTTATTTGCGAGGAAAACCTCCCTGGTCTTTGTGGTTGAATCTGTGTTTGAAATTCACAGCTCGACTGGACCTTACAGATAATTGTATGTGTGTAGTCATTCAAAAATTATGTTAAACACTATCATTGCACACAGAGTGAGTCCATGCAACTTATTATGTGATTTAAGCACATTTTTACTCCTGAACTTATTTAGGCTTGACATAACAAAGGGGTTAAATACTTATTGACTCAAGACATTTCAGCTTTTTGTTTTTAATTCATTTGTAACAATGTCTAAAAACATAGTTCCACTTTGACATTATGGGGTATTTTGTGTAGGCCAGTGACACAATCTCAATGTAATACATTTTAAATTCAGCATGGAGGACAACAAAGTGTGGTAAAAGTCAAGGGGTGTGAATACTTTCTGAAAGCACTGTACATAGTTCTAGACTGATTTACGTTAGCCTGACGTGTTATATAGCAGGGTTTCTTACATTACCCAACCTTAGAGAAACTACCAGACAGTAGGATAGTACCTGTAATTATTTAATTGTTGCAAAAGTATGTATACTGAACAAAAATATAAACGCAACATGCAACAATTTCATTGATTTTACTGAGTTACAGTTCATATGAGGAAATCAGTCAATTGAAATAAATTAGACCCTAATCTGTGAATTTCACACGACTGGGAATGCAGATGTGCATCTGTTGGTCATAGATACTTTTTTTAAAATGGGCCTCACAATGGGCCTCAGGATCTCGTCACTGTATTTTTGTGCATTCAAATTGCCATCGATAAAATGCAATTGTGTTCGTTTTCCATAGCTTATGCCTGCTCATACCATAACCCCAACGCCATCATGGGACACTCTGTTCACAACGTTGACATCAGCATACCGCTGGCCCACACGATGCCATACACATGGTTTGCGGTATGAGGCCGGTTGGACATACTGCCAAATTCTCTAAAAATGACGTTGGAGGCGGCTTATGGTAGAGAAATGAACATTGAATTCTCTTTCTGAGATCTTTTATTTCAGCTCATGAAACATGGGACCACACTTTACATGTTGCGTTTATATTTTTGTTCAGTGTAATTGGAGTACAATACAACTGTTTAACCCTTGTGAAAAATGTAGTTTCCCTGCAGAAATGTCTAGGGTCTATATAAAGTGCTGTGAAAGTTGTTGATCCTCATTCAGTCTGTACTGTGCGTGCTTTGTGTGTGGTCTCCCTCCAGCCCAGGCTGTATGTACATGTAAGGAGCCGTGCTCTGGGTTCAGTGCTGACCTCTGAGAGTGTCCAGGATGACTTGTCCCTGGCCAGAGTGTCCCTGTCCCCGGCCTGTTCTCTGGACACCCAGCGCTGGCTCTTCACCGGAGGGCTGCTCTGCTGCAAGGTGTGTGTGTGGGTGTGGTGTGTGCATGCAGCGGAAGAGGTGTACCCGAGGGCATGTGTCAACCATATGTGCATCACAGGAGGCTGCTGAGGGGAGGATGGGCAGAATGGAGTGAATGGAATGGCATCAAACACATGGAAACAATGTACTGTATTTAATTCCATTCCGCTGCAGCCATTACCACGAGCCTGTCCACCACATTAAGGTGCCACCATCCTCTTGTGATGTGCGTGTGTGCATGCATGAAGGGAGAAAGGGGTCAAGTTTTGTCAACCTTTAAGCAAAACTAGCATGGGAATATTCTGGGAAATATGTAAATAAAAGTGAAAAGTGGAATCAGTCATCTACAATATTGATTGACTGTTCGCTTCAAGCTAAAGTCTGCAGCCAGCCAGTGATCACTCCACAATTTGTCATGGCCTAGTCTGGTGTCCCAACTGTACATAAAGCTGCTGCTCTAAATATTATTATAATTAAGTGGGTGGTTACATTTGTCCTATTTCACACATGTACAAGCGCATATGTGAATTGGAAATGTTTTTTTTTTGGCATATCTCACTCAGAGCAATTAGGGTTAAGTGCCTTGCTCAAGAGCACATTGACAGATTTTTCACCTATTCCGCTCTGGGATTTGAACCAGCGATCTATCGGTTACTGGCCCAGCGTTCCTAACCACTAGGCTACCTGCCACCCTTTTATGCAGGAGGCTACGTTTCTATCTTTAGTGCATAATCGAAATGCTAAGTAGCAAGAGGTTTGGGAATTGAGCATTGCACATGACTCACACTTCAAGTATTGGAGACATGTTTACCTTGGATTGTCACTCAATAAATCCTCTTCCCTATAGTATGCTTTGGTAAGCATCTGTGCATGTGTGTGTGTAATGTACAGTATCTGTGTGATATTGACCTGTTGTGTGTTGCCTGTAGGCTAGTAAGGCGTGTCTGTCAGTGATCGGAGGGAAGGCCACAGTGGGTGCCAGAGTGGCCCTGTGGGCGGAGCATGGACGCACACACCAGAGATGGAGCCTGAACCACAACGGAACCATCTCTTCCCATCTCAACCACAAACTAGTACTGGAATTCAGAGGTGAGACAATAGAGCTCCACTATAATTTATGGTCTTTGATAACACTGACATAGTGGAGATCAGACAGGTTTCTGTTGTGTACTGCTGCTGAACTCAACTACCGTATGCTATACATAGTGGAGGATCTATTTTGAGATCATAACAACCATTTTCACAGAGTCGTCTCAGAAAAGAGCTAGAAATCAAATTGTTATAGAATTAGTTATTGGGGGAACCATCATGAAATGCTGTTTGCTTTCCAGTTCTTCTGCAAGCACCAATCTTTTGAAAAGAAACATGGACATAACTTACTTTCAGTTGTCTATTAGACACAGTAAAATAAAGATTGTCCCCTAAAAGGAACAATTTGTGTCATGTCTTTCAGGTGGAACAGGTTTCGAGAGGGACCACCTGGTTGTCAATGAATTCGCTGCTGATCAGGCCACACAGTTCTGGGATATGGAGTTGGTCTAGAAGAAAATTCCTGCCAAAGCCATGAGGCATCCCAGTGCAGTATGGGAGATGTTTGTTGTAGTGTTTGTTTCTATCCTAGCAGAGCACTTCTCCCAGCCATCTGGCCCACGTGTCCATGACAACAGAGCAAGAAGCATCACGTTTATTTCCTGTGTCTTTTTCTGTTTAATCTCAGGACCCAGAAACCATTGCAGCAGCGCTGACACACTGAGTAGCGATACAGAATCCAATCGTCTTTCTGTACTTGAACATGTCAGTGTGGCACTAAAGCTAATGTGTAGACAGTTAAGAACTGACAGGGGAATTTAAAGCCAAAACTACAGGATCAAGGCAATTGAGCAATCACATAAAGCCTATGATAACTACCACTACTATACCATTGAAATAGAATGGAAGTCAGTCAGCCAGTCTTTAACTTAATGGACTTACTGCTCTGTCTGAGGCAATATAATGTAAACATTGCTTAGCTTCTATTTCTGATATATTTTCTCAAGCACATTTGCACTACCAAGATTTTCACATGAAATGTGGCCAACATCTTGTTTTTTTCAATGATGTCAAGGAATTTGCTGCTGTAAGCTACCCTCGTCCTTAAAATATGTCACTTAACTGCCACTAGCCCAAGGTAAAATAGTCACTGGCCCTCTACAAATGTGTTCAGCTGGAGTGTTTTAAAAGAGCGTCTGGTTATTTCACTGGAGCAAAAGGTGCAGAACCTTTATATATATATATATATATATATATATATATATAATATATGTGTGTGTATGATATTCAAGAATAGATATAATCAAATATTTCTAAAACAATTTATGTCCATAAAGATAAGATGACAGTGTACAGTTGAGGCAAGCTGATGGTATATTATTAATAATGAAGACGTTTATGTTTTTAAATCTGTGGATAATATTAAAGGTTAATGTCATACTGTTCACTGGCTGTGGGTTGTTATTCGAAGGTTCTGAGAACTACAGCTGATTGGGAGTAAGGGATTGACAGGTAATGCATTCAGTACATTTTCACAGGATACACTCCAAAGCAATGCAAGATTTTCAAAGCCTTCATGCAAGATTTGGTTCTGTGTTGCCGAGATTACACACACACAAGTACCAGTAATTAAATAATGTTTAAATAAATTAAGCACACGCCCCAGAGTGCCAGGGCAAGGTAGACTCAACTGCTAGAATTGGCTGAGTGCTGTGTTTGCACTCCTCTAGCTCCATCTATTGGCAAGATCTATTTCTGGCCTAGTTCAGACTGGTTGAAAATGGGGTACAACACATTTTTTAAGGAATATGATATAACACCCATTCACTAAAATGCTTAAAAGGCCAATCAGCTGTTGAAACAATAACAATGCCTTTTCCCTGCCACTGTTTTGGTAAAAAGCTCAGGGATGGGGCTGGAGAAATGTAATCACTCAAATGCATAGACAGATATGGATGCTAGGACATCCATGATATCAGAACTATAGTTGTAACCATGTTCTGGAGCCTATACAGTGTTTTACATTGTTTACAAACATTGGAGTAAAAAACAAAAGTATTTTGGGGTTCTGATGGGATTCGACAGTTAAACTAAGCATTTATATTCTTCAAGAATAAAATCTAATTTTATTTGTCACATACGTGTTTAGCAGATGTTATTGCGGGTGTAGCGAAATGCTTGTGCACTAATATCTAACAAGTAATATCTAACAATTTCACAACATACAGTTGAAGTCAGAAGTTTACATACACCTTAGCCAAATACATTTAAACTCAGTTTTTCACAATTCCTGACATTTAATCCTAGTAAGAATTCCCTATCTTAGGTCAGTTAGGATCACCACTTTATTTTAAGAATGTGAAATGTCAGAATAATAGTAGAGAGAATGATTTATTTCAGCTTTTATTTCTTTCATCACATTCCCAGTGGGTCAGAAGTTTACATACACTCAATTAGTATTTGGTAGCATTGACTTTAAATTGCTTAACTTGGATCAAACGTTTCGGGTGCCCTTCCACAAGCTTCCCACAATAAGTTGGGTGAATTTTGGCCCATTCCTCCTGACAGAGCTGGTGTAACTGAGTCAGGTTTGTAGGCCTCCTTGCTCGCACAAGCTTTTTCAGTTCTGCCCACAAATGTTCTATAGGATTGAGGTCAGGGCTTTGTGATGGCCAGTCCAATACCTTGACTTTGTTGTCCTTAAGCCATTTTGCCACAAATTTGGAAGTATTCTTGAGGTCATTGTCCATTTGGAAGACCCATTTGCGACCAAGCTTTAACTTCCTGACTGATGTCTTGAGATGTTGCTTCAATATATCCACATAATGTTCCTTCCTTATGATGCCATCTATTTTGTGAAGTGCACCAGTCCCTCCTGCAGCAAAGCACCCCCCCCCCCCCCCCCCCCCCCCCAGCATGATACTGTCACCCCTGTGCTTCACGTTTGGGATTGTGTTCTTCGGCTTGCAAGCCCCCTCTTTTTCATCCAAACATAACGATGGTCATAATGGCCAAACGGTTCCATTTTTGTTTAATCAGACCAGAGGACATTTCTCCAAAAAGTACGATCTTTGTCCCCATGTGCAGTTGCAAACCGTAGTCTGGCTTTTTTATGGCTGTTTTGGAGCAGTGGCTTCTTCCTTGCTGAGCGGCCTTTCAAGTTATGTCGATATAGGACTCGTTTTACTGTGGATATGGATACTTTTGTACCGGTTTCCTCCAGCATCTTCACAAGGTCCTTTGCTGTTGTTCTGGGAATGAGTTGCACTTTTCGCACCAAAGTATGTTCATCTCTAGGAGACAGAACGCGTCTCCTTCCTAAGCAGTACGATGGCGGTGTGGTCCCATGGTGTTTATACTTGCATACTATTGTTTGTACAGATGAACGTGGTACCTTCAGGTGTTTGGAAATTGCTCCCAAGGATGAACCAGACTTTTGGAGGTCTACCATTTTTTTCTGAGGTCTTGGCAGATTTCTTTTGATTTTCCCATGATGTCAAGCAAAGAGGCACTGAGTTTGAAGGTAGGCCTTGTACATCCGTCAATTAGCCTATCAGAAGCTTCTAAAGCCATGACATCATTTTCTGGAATTTTCCAAGCTGTTTAAAGGCACAGTCAACTTAGTGTATGTCAACTTCTGACCCACTGGAATTGTGATACAGTGAATTATAAGTGAAATAACCTGTCTGTAAACAATTGTTGGAAAAATGACTTGTGTCATGCACAAAGTAGATGTCCTAACCAACTTGCCAAAACTATAGTTTGTTAACAAGGCATTTGTGAAGTGGTTGAAAAACAAGTTTTAATGACTCCAACCTAAGTGTATGTAAACATCCGACTTCAACTGTATACCCAATACACACAAATCTAGTAAGGAATGGAATTTAAGAATATATACATATATGGACAAGCAATGACAGAGCGGCATGGACTAAGATACAGTACAATATTATAGAATACAGTATATACAGTGGGGGAAAAAAGTATTTAGTCAGCCACCAATTGTGCAAGTTCTCCCACTTAAAAAGATGAGAGAGGCCTGTAATTTTCATCATAGGTACACGTCAACTATGACAGACAAAATGAGAAAAAAAAATCCAGAAAATCACATTGTAGGATTTTTTATGAATTTATTTGCAAATTATGGTGGAAAATAAGTATTTGGTCAATAACAAAAGTTTCTCAATACTTTGTTATATACCCTTTGTTGGCAATGACACAGGTCAAACGTTTTCTGTAAGTCTTTACAAGGTTTTCACACACTGTTGCTGGTATTTTGGCCCATTCCTCCATGCAGATCTACTCTAGAGCAGTGATGTTTTGGGGCTGTCGCTGGGCAACACGGTCTTTCAACTCCCTCCAAAGATTTTCTATGGGGTTGAGATCTGGAGACTGGCTAGGCCACTCCAGGACCTTGAAATGCTTCTTACGAAGCCACTCCTTCGTTGCCCGGGCGGTGTGTTTGGGATCATTGTCATGCTGAAAGACCCAGCCACGTTTCATCTTCAATGCCCTTGCTGATGGAAGGAGGTTTTCACTCAAAATCTCACGATACATGGCCCCATTCATTCTTTCCTTTACCCGGATCAGTCGTCCTGGTCCCTTTGCAGAAAAACAGCCCCAAAGCATGATGTTTCCACCCCCATGCTTCACAGTAGGTATGGTGTTCTTTGGATGCAACTCAGCATTCTTTGTCCTCCAAACACGACGAGTTGAGTTTTTACCAAAAAGTTCTATTTTGGTTTCATCTGACCATATGACATTCTCCCAATCCTCTTCTGGATCATCCAAATGCACTCTAGCAAACTTCAGACGGGCCTGGACATGTACTGGCTTAAGCAGGGGGACACGTCTGGCATTGCAGGATTTGAGTCCCTGGCGGCGTAGTGTGTTACTGATGGTAGGCTTTGTTACTTTGGTCCCAGCTCTCTGCAGGTCCTTCACTAGGTCCCCCCGTGTGGTTCTCGGATTTTTGCTCACCGATCTTGTGATCATTTTGACCCCACGGGGTGAGATCTTGCGTGGAGCCCCAGATCGAGGGAGATTATCAGTGGTCTTGTATGTCTTCCATTTCCTAATAATTGCTCCCACAGTTGATTTCTTCAAACCAAGCTGATTACCTATTGCAGATTCAGTCTTCCCAGCCTGGTGCAGGTCTACAATTTTGTTTCTGGTGTCCTTTGACAGCGCTTTGGTCTTGGCCATAGTGGAGTTTGGAGTGTGACTGTTTGAGGTTGTGGACAGGTGTCTTTTATACTGATAACAAGTTCAAACAGGTGCCATTAATACAGGTAACGAGTGGAGGACAGAGGAGCCTCTTAAAGAAGAAGTTACAGGTCTGTGAGAGCCAGAAATCTTGCTTGTTTGTAGGTGACCAAATACTTATTTTCCACCATAATTTGCTAATAAATTCATTAAAAATCCTACAATGTGATTTTCTGGATTTTCTTTTCTCAATTTGTCTGTCATAGTTGACGTGTACCTATGATGAAAATTACAGGCCTCTCTCATCTTTTTAAGTGGGAGAACTTGCACAATTGGTGGCTGACTAAATACTTTTTTTCCCCACTGTACATATGAGATGAGTAGTGCAAGATATGTAAACATGATTAAAGTGACTAGTGTTCCATTTCTTAAAGTGGCCAGTGATTTATATAGGTGCCAAGCCAAATTTCTTCAGCCTCCTGAGGTTGAAGAGGCTCTGTTGCACCTTCTTCACCAGACTGTCTGCGTGGGTGGACCATTTCAGTTTGTCAGTGATTTGTACGCCAAGGAACATGAAGCTTTCCATCTTCTCCATTGCAGAACCCGTCGATGTGGATAGGGGGGGTGCACCCTCTGCTGTTTCCTTAAGTCCACGATCAGCTCCTTTGTTTTGTTGACGTTGAGTTAGATGTTATTTTCCTGGCACCACACTCCCAGAGCCCTCACCTCCTCCAAGTAGGCTGTCTCGTCATTGTTGGTAATCAAGCCTACTACTGTTGTGTCGTCTGCAAACTTGATGATTGAGTTGGAGGCGTGCTTGGCCACGCAGTCATGGGTGAACAGGGAGTACAGGAGGGGGCTGAGCATGCACCCTTGTGGGGCCCCAGTGTTGAGGATCAGTGAAGTGGAGGTGTTGTTTCCTACCTTCACCACCTGGGGGTGGCCCGTAAGGAAGTCCAGGACCCAGGGCCTCGAGCTTAATGATGAGCTTGGAGGGTACTATGGTGTTGAATGCTGAGCTATAGTCAATTAACAGCATTCTTACATTGGTACTCCTCTTGTCCAGATGGGCTGAATCAATGGGTACATATCAATTTATAAGTCAAATAAATTATGTAGCAACTGCTGATTGACCCTTTAAACTATGGCATGTGTTTTCTAAAATAAATTCAAACAAAAGAACATGCACAAAGGATTTCCAAATCCATACTCCTTTATAAAATAATTGTCACTTGGAAAATTACAATAAAATACAAAGTACTTTTTACAAACTCTTCTCCAAACTACCTTCTTGAAAAATAAAATAATGCATTAGCAGAATAGGCCTACCATCTCCAAATTAATCTGGGTGGTCATTAAAATGTGGATACAGAAGCAATCACATTGTAAATGCCTTCATTTTAGTGACCCATTCAACATACTGGCATCCCTGCAAATAATCATGTCTTATCAAGAGACTGACAGTACTATGAAATAATAAGACTGAAAATTAAAACTGTTATAAGTTGGTAATAACTAGTGACATTGTGGGAGTTACCTTTTTGTCTCCCAAATTTTACAGCATTTCTTTCATAAATGGCAAACCACTGAATGTGTCCCAGTTGTCAAATGTGTGCATTTGTTTTCGATTGTCAGAGAGAGAAAAAGTATAATCTTTTACATAATAAATATAATTGGTTACTATTTTTAAGTATTATAGTCACTCCCAAATAACATCACATTTTCAGTGTACACACTAACCTGATAAAATAATTTCCTAATTTCACTCAAGTAAAACATGACATAAATAATATCTCAGAAATACAAGCGCTTCCTTGGGTTACTAGGGACGATAGCTCAAGACACCATTTTAGACTGAGAAAAACAATGGGTGTTCATTTTTTACAAATGAACCCTAACTTAAATAACTACTGAGTCAACATCTTTAAGAGATAAATTACAAAACATTAGGACCTAGTAGATTAATTTAAGTTAACTCATCTTCATTCAGTGAATGTGATGTTCATACCAAAAACAGCACAGAGTACTTGTAATTTTGAAACATTCTCCAACGTAAAACTTAGATTTAGGCACTGAGTTTTTAGAAGTGTGTTTGATTTTCTCAGCAGTGTGTCCCGGATGGACGGAGTTGACACTTCATTTAGAAATTGGCAGTGCCGATTGTCAACTTTATCTTTCACTGTTGCTGTGACAAAGATCCTGACAGCTAACATTGAGTAAAAAATTACAATTGTCAATGGCACAATATGAAACTGCACTCAAAATAAAGCCAATCCTACAACACTAACCATAGCTGAATTCACCTATTACTTCATAAATGGCCCGTCATTGCTTTGCATTAAAATAGTTTACACGAAAAGTTACATTTTGGAGACAGAAAACGGTATTTCCCAAATCAAATCAAATTAAAAGGACAGACATCTAACCTACCTGACTGCACTACCTCTGGAGAGTGCTGTAGGAGAGTGCTGTAGGAGAGTGCTGTAGGAGAGTGCTGTGGGAGAGTGCTGTAGGAGAGTGCTGTAGGAGAGTGCTGTAGGAGAGTGCTGTAGGAGAGTGCTGTAGGAGAGTGCTGTGGGAGAGTGCTGTAGGAGAGTGCTGTAGGAGAGTGCTGTGGGAGAGTGCTGTGGGAGAGTGCTGTGGGAGAGTGCTGTAGGAGAGTGCTGTAGGAGAGTGCTTTGATTTTGTATTTGGTTGTTAATGCATTCAAACTAAATACTCTAAACTACATATTCATAAATCCTTTGAGGGAGAAACTTAATAAATTCAATATATCATCATAAGTATGGTGGTCCTTAAATGAACCAAATATGTCTTTCCTTAAAATGTGTCTATTGCAGTCATCGGAGGATAGACTGAGGGTCGTGCAACTCGCTGACTAAAAGCTAAGCAGGGCTGGGTTCAAATCATTTCAAATTCAGGAAGTTTGTTGAGAGTTCAATTCGTGAACCAGAAATGTCCTCATTGAAAACAATGGATAATTTTTCCAAATTACTAAACGAGATTCAACAAAGTGCCTGAAGTGAATTGGGCCCGACCCTGATGCTAAGTGCAGTGTGTGTTAGCTCATCATGGGGGAGCTCTGCAGGACTGAGTTCTGCTCAAAACACACTCTCTTCAGTGGTGGAGCTCCAGAACACTCCTCTTCCTCCTGTGTGGGGAAATACGGCCAGGTTTGTTTGAATCCATGTTTTATCAGTTTAATGTATACTGTTCTGAGTATATTGTTGGTATATGATGTGGTGTATTAAACAGTCTTGAAAGCACATCGGTTGAGTGACAAAGCTGTGGTGTCAAAGTGGAATGATCATTGAGATGTTAGATGTGCTTTACCTGAGCAGTGAGGGGCAACAGGTCCTCTTTAATCAGCAATGGAGGTTCGTCAGCCAATTCACTTGGCAATGATGGCTCTGAAAACAAAAAAGTATAATAAATAGATATTTACTTAACCTCTAAATAATCAGAAGATATATTTGATCTTATTGAAATCAGAATAATAATTGAGAAAGTGTGCACATTTGCATGTGCATCTGTCGGTCTGTCTGCCTGCCTATCTCACCCTCCATGATCTCCTGGCCCAAAGTGGGGGGCTGGGAGTCATCTGTGCGGAAGTCACACAGGTTCTTCGGGCTCAGAGGTTCACTGAGCTGGGGGCTGGAGTTACTGCTGCTGTCCACTTTGGGCTGGTACGCATCAGACAAGGAGCTCTGGTTACTGTTCTCATCTGGGGAGTAAGAGAGTACAGGAAATATGAGGAAATGGAGAAAGCTCAAGGCCAGTATATGGTGAGGTCATATGTCACTCAAAACGGTTTTCCATCCTTACCATGAAAATCCAGAAGACTTGAGTGTGGGTTTTCTGAGGCTGGATCCGTGGAGAAGCGATTCAGCTCCCTGACTGCCCCAACTGGGACTGCCTTACTCTTCTCCTTCTACAAGATAAATCAAATTCAGACACTGCATTTGTAGGTAGCAACACATAAGAAACTGACATAGCTATCTTATTAAACAAGAAAATAACTTGCTTCCTTTGTATCCACCACTGGCACCCATTTGAATATCCTCAAAGATGTGTCTCCGACAGTCACCCATTTCTTTTCCCTGTAGAAAACAATGTGATTGCGCTCCTTTTCATTAAAAAATGGTTACAGGGTCAAGTGCACCTGTTTAAATATCCCTTCCATTGAGTGAGATGCTATTAGTGAAAGCTGCTACAAATTAGCGAGGATACACCTCACTGGCAATTGTTGGCTAGCATCTTATTGATTACTACATGACTGTCACTGCATAGTTGCTTCCAAGCTTGTCTGTCCATTCATTATTAGCAAGCTAGCTAATTAGGTTTACTCAAGTCCTACTTTTGGTTCCGCCTCTTGTTGAAAAGCCACTTGTCTTGAGGGAGAAAGCTTCACAGTGATTCTCATTGGCTGTGCTCTCGGTCTTTCACTGTCATTCTGTCTCAAACCACGCCTCCCTGTCGCTGAACTTTGTGTATGTAATCTTTTATGATCTTTCACACAAATAAACAGTGTTGTGCTTACCATCTTCTGACCCTCTCAATGACCGCCATCACCTTCTTCATGTCATCTTTAGCGCGGCTTCGTGTCTCAGCGCGAACCGAGCGTCCAGACATTTTGTGCTTGGTTTTAGTTTGATTTGCCTCCGACAGACTGTTTAGCCACAGACAGAAGGGGTAACCCAGACACGTCACAGTGGCTATAAAGCTGAAGCATCCGTTTTAAACGTTTTCTCACCACCAAATATAGTAGTGAGAGGAAGTCCAGTCGCGGGTAGTGGGAAAGGATGGAACTAGGTGAAACTGGGCCGGCATTCTGCTAATTTTCTCATCAATGAAACATCTGATCTCAAAACATTTTTCTGTTCCCAAAACTACAATCTATTATGGACACAGTGCACTAAGTTTTAGACTTGACACTTGCGTTGTTTAGGAGCGCAAGGTCGAATTGAGTGTGCGCACATCAAGGGGCGTTCCATAACGGAAATATGCAAATACATGCTACAACGCGCCAATAGGATCTCGCTATCTCGTGCTTGGCTTTGCCGACGTCTTTGCTTGTTCTGCCCACTATGCTTCATTTTCTCCCACTGTAAACTACACAGATGAACTATCTTGGGTTAGTTATATCTTTGGTTTAGCTTTTAAGCTCTCCGTCCTGCCCCATGATTCTCGCGAGCTTTCGGGACCCATTCTCTTCTTGTTCTCACAAAACGCCCTCCCTAAATTTGCATGTGTTACATTAAGTTACCAGCTGGGGTCACATGTTACATTGTAGTTACACCGTGGCATCCCTGAGCTTCATTGTTAGTTTAGTATGTCATGTTTCTACAGAGGAACTGTAGAAACACAAGACACCCCAGCAGAATTCCTATTATCTAACAAAACTTATTTTTTAAAAGGTACAAAGACCCCCAGAGTCAAAGAAAGTTCTCCTATAGTAGTAGCATTACACATTTACGTCATTTAGCAGACGCTCCTATCCAGAGCCATTTACAAAATGGTATTGCTCACATACGTGTTTAGCAGATGTTATTGTGGGTGTAGCGAAATGCTGGTGTTTCTTGCTCCAACAGTGCAGTAATATCTAACAAATTCACAACAATACACACAAATCTAAAGTAAAGGAATTACGAATATATAAATATTTGGATGAGCAATGTCAGACTAAGACTAAGACACAGTAGAACAGAATAGAATACAGTATATACATATGAGATGAGTAATGCAAAATAAGTAAACATTAAAGTGACTAGTGTTCCATTATTAAAGTGGCCAGTGATTTCAGTCTATGTATATAGGGCAGCAGCCTCTAATGTGCAAGTGGTGGCTATTTAACAGTCTGATGGCCTTGAGATATAAACTGTTTTTCAGTCTCTTGGTCCCAGCTTTGATGCACCTGTACTGACCTCGCCTTCTGGATGATAGCGGGGTGAACAGGCAGTGGCTCAGGTGGTTGTTGTCCTTGATTATCTTTTTGGCCTTCCTGTGACATCGGGTGCTGTAGGTGTCCTGGAGGGCTGGTAGTTTGTCACCGGTGATGCGTTGGGCAGACCGCACCACCCTCTGGAGAGCCCTGCGGTTGCGGGCGGTGCAGTTGCAGTTGCCATACCAGACGGTGATACAGCCCGACACGATGCTCTCAATTGTGCATCTGTAAAAGTTTGTGAGGGTTTTAGGTACCAAGCCAAATTTCTTCAGCCTCCTGAGGTTGAAGAGGCTCTGTTGCGCCTTCTTCACCACACTGTCTGCGTGGGTGGACCATTTCAGTTTGTCAGTGATGTGTACGCCGAGGAACTTGAAGCTTTTCACCTTCTCCACTGCGGTCCCGTCGATGTGGATAGGGGGGTGCTTCCTCTGCTGTTTCCGGAAGTCCACAATCAGCTCCTTTGTTTTGTTGACATTGAGTGAGAGGTTATTTTCCTGGCCCCACACTCCCAGGGCCCTCACCTCCTCCCTGTAGGCTGTCTCGTCGTTTTTAGTAATCAAGCCTACTACTGTTGTGTCGTCTGAAAACTTGATGATAGAGTTGGAGGCGTGCGTGGCCACGCAGTCATGGGTGAACAGGGAGTACAGGAGGAGGCTGAGCACGCATCCTTGTGGGGTCCCAGTGTTGAGGAACAACGAAGTGGAGATGTTGTTTCCTACCTTCACCACCTGGTGGCGGCCCACCAGGAAGTCCAGGACCCAGTTGCACAGTGCGGGGTTCAGACCCAGGGCCTCAAGCTTAATGATGAGCTTGGAGGGTACTATGGTGTTGAAGGCTGAGCTATAGTCAATGAAAAGCATTCTTACATAGGTATTCCTCTTGTCCAGATGGGATAGGGCAGTGTGCAGTGCGATGGCGATTGCATCGTCTGTGGATCTATTGGGGCGGTAAGCAAATTGAAGGGTGTCGGGTAAGGTAGAGGTGATATGATCCTTGACTAGTCTCTCAAAGCACTTCTTGATGACAGAAGTGAGTGCTACTGGGCGATAGTCATTTAGTTTAGTTACCTTTGCTTTCTTAGGTACAGGAACAATGGTGGACATCTTGAAGCATGTGGGGACAGCAGACTGGGATAGGGAGAGATTGAATATGTCCGTAAACACTCCAGCCAGCTGGTCTGCGCATGCTCTGAGGACGCGGCTAGGGATGCCGTCTGGGCCAGCAGCCCTGCGAGAATTAACACGCTTGAAAGTCTTACTCACGTCGGCCACGGAGAAGAAGAGCCTACAGTCCTTGGTAGCGGGCTGCGTCGGTGGCACTGTGTCATCCTCAAAGCATGTGTTTAGCTTGTCTGGAAGCAAGACATCGGTGTCTGCGACGTGGCTGGTTTTCCCTTTGTATTCCGTGATTGTCTGTAGACCCTGCCACATACGTCTCGTGTCTGAGCCGTTGAATTGCGACTCCACTTTGTCTCTATACTGACGTTTTGCCTGTTTGATTGCCTTATGAAGGGAAGGTCCAAGTAGAGATAAATAGTATTACAGATTTTTGGAGGCAGGCAGAGCATTCAGAAAACAAAACAGAGCCATATTTCTGTAGAAACACAATGATTTATTAAAACCAGCATGCAAATTCCACTTATACCTGACAGGAGTCGAATTGCAGGCCATTCTGTGAAGAGGCAGTGTGTGAGAGAAAGGGAGAGAGAGAGATAGAAAGAGGGGTCTACACAGCCAGCCCGGGGGTCATTAGTTCTTTAGTCCTTGGGTGCCGTGAGCACAGTGTCCAGCGCGCTCTGCGCCTCCTGTATCTGCTGTTGCAGCCTTTGTTTCATGCCCTCGTTCTGGGCCTTCTTCAGCATGGCCTGCATGTCCTGGATGGCCGCACGGTAGCCCGGCGCATTGTGGAACACACGCACCGCCCGGTCCCCGCTGCACACCAGGTAGCGGCTGTTGATGTCAAACCTAAGCTCAGTGATCTCCTCGCTGTGGACTCCATGGAACTCCTCCTCCAGCTGACCCGTGGAGGTGCTGTACATGGCCACGCTGCAGCGGTTGGAGATAGCCACCACGCGGGCGTCTGGCGACAGGGCCACCCGGCTGCCTTCCGACGACTGGCAAGGTACCGACTTCAGGAGGTAGGGGTCCTGTTGCTTCTTGTACTCCACGTCTGTGTCCCACAGCCGCCACGTGCCGTCCTTGGAGACGGTGGCCATTCTGGGGGAAACAGGAGACGGTTTCAAATGTCAATGGGGAAATCTACCTTATGAATGTAATCATAATGTCATCCATGGAAATCAACCATTGATGTTTCGATAGGATACCACACAATGCATGCCTTACCTGCGTGAGTCGTTAGAGAAGGCAAAGGAGTGGACCCCTGCTGAATGGCCCTTCAGGTCGAAGGCGCGGGTCACCTCTTTGAAGTCGCCACCCTTCCCGAAGCACACCTCCCACACCTTCACGTCAGGAGTGAAGCCACAGGAAGCCACAAACCTGAAGACAGAACCATCCAAAAATTATTTACCTGAGATCACTATTACATTAGCTATAACCCCCCCCCACACACACACACACAGATTTAGAGGACGGTACTGACCTTCCACAGGGTGAGATGGCAGCGTAGGAGTTGGTCATCTGGTTGGTGATGATAGAGGCCAGTACCTCTCCTTTCAGGTCCCAAATGAGGATATTGGTGTCGGTGGAGGCACTCATGATGAACTTGCCTGGAACACAGAAAACAAAAAAGGGAGAGAAATTAGAGTTTAGACGACAACTGGAACAAGGGTTTCTTCCATAACTTCTAACGTTCATAACTTTTGAAAAATGTGCATATCACGCAGTCACATCTTCCTGCCTTTTAATCATTCAGTCTGAATACATTTAGCCGTCATACCCGTCTCTGCGATGCCGATATTGATGACATTGGCCTTGTGTTTCTGAGGGAAGTCTTCAGGGGCAGCATTGAAAGTGAAGCTACCATCATCCTTCTTGGTCATCTTGAAGATGCGAATGGTATCTCCGTTAGCCAGCCAAGTAATGAAGGCCCTTCATACCAAGACAGAGTAAGTATAGAAAGACAAGAGGCTCTATCCACCCATCTATATATACCCTTTGTTATGGACAGGAGTGTGTGTGTGTGTATACCTTGAATCAGGGCTGAAACAGACCATCGTGGCGTGGTCCAGCTCTACGTTGACCCTCAGACATTTGTGGTCTCTGTCAAGGAATTCCTTGGTGCTCCATATCCTGACGGTGCGGTCATCAGCACAGGTGGCTAGGTACTTCCCGTTGCTGCTGAAGTCCAGGGACGTCACATTTCCACTGTGACTCTGGGGAGAGAGAGAGACGAGTGAGCCAAGCAATGATCAAGCATCAGATAATTCTGCAACGTCGTCACACACCACTGTCATTACATTATGTTCTGTGAGCCTTGTTGGAGGAGCATTACACAAGACTGTGGCCTGTGGGATGGTTTTTAGAATTGATTAGATAGGCAGAGTATGCCTAAATATGGCAAATATAGAGTTCATAGTATGTAAAGCGTGGCCCACCTTCAAGGAGGATGCCAGGAGAGGGTGGCTGAAAGTGTGCTGCTGGGCTTTCTCCTTGCGAGGACGCTGTTGTTGTTTCTGTTTCTTGGCAGTGGGAGCCTTCACTGCATTTTTCTCTGCCGCAGGGGATGAATTGGCATTACATTACACAAGACGTTCAAGAAGACACTTTCTAGTACCTTCCATAGAGGCTAACCAAGATACTTTTTGTCATGTAGTGTATGTGGACACATGCTCGTCGAACATCTCATTCCAAAATCATGGGCATTAATATGGAGTTGGTCCCCCCTTTGCTACTATAACAGCCTCCACTCTTCTGGGAAGGCTTTCCACAAGATGTTGGAACATTGCTGCGGGGACTTGCTTCCATTCAGCCACAAGAGCATTAGTGAGGTCGGGCACTGATGTTGGGCGATTAGGCCTGGCTCGCAGTCGGCGTTCCAATTCATCCCAAGGGTGTTCGATGGGGTTGAGGTCAGGACTCTGTGCAGGCCAGTCAAGTTCTTCCACACCGATCTCGACAAACCATTTCTGTATGGACCTCGCTTTGTGCACAGGGGCATTGTCATGCTGAAACAGGAAAGGGCCTTCCCCAAACTGTTACCACAAAGTTGAAAGCACAGCGTCGTCTAGAATGTCATTTAACGCTGTAGCGTTAAGATTTCCCTTCACTGGAACTAAGGGGCCTAGTCCGAACCATGAAAAACAGCCCCAGACCATTGTTCCTCACCCACCAAACTTTACAGTTGGCACTATGCATTCGGGCAAGTAGCGTTCTCCTGGGATCCGCCAAACCCAGATTTGTCCGTCGGACTGCCAGATGGTGAAGCGTGATTCATCACTCCAGAGAACGTGTTTCCACTGCCGAAGAGTCCAATGGCGGAGAGATTTACACCACTCCAGCCGATGCTTGGCATTGCGCATGGTGACCTTAGGCTTGTGTGCGGCTGCTCGGCCATGGAAACCCATTTCATGAAGCTCCCAACAAACAGTTCTTGTGCTGACGTTTGAAACTCGGTATGCGCTTCAGCGGTCCTGTTCTGTGAGCTTGTGTGGCCTACCACTTCACGGCTGAGCCGTTGTTGCTCCTAGACATTTCCACTTCACAATAACAGCACTTACAGTTGACCGGGGAAGCTCAAGCAGGGCAGAAACTTGACGAACTGACTTGTTGGAAAGGTGGCATCCTATGACGGTGCCATGTTGAAAAGTCACTGAGCGCTCCAGTAAGGCCATTCTACTGTCAATGTTTGTCTATAGAGATTGCATGGCTGTGTGCTCAATTTTATACACCTGTCAGCAACAGGTGTGGCTGAAATAGCCGAATCTACTAATTTGAATGGGGTGTCCATATACTTTTGTATATATAGTGTAGGTAGCCTATATCATGTTTCTCATTATCAAAATGTTCAGGTTGATTTCTCCTCTGGGAACCGTAAGATGTTGCCTCATAAAACATTCACAATTCTGTAACAATAATACAATGTTTTGGTCACCATTTCATTCAAACTTTCTTCCATAACTTTTCCTCCAGCAACAAGTTTACAGCTGGCTACATTTAACCTTTTTTGACCTGGTGTCAATACTTTTAAATGAGTACATATATTGTTACTATCATCAAGGGCCACTGGCTTCTATTACAGTGTGTGTAAATTGCACCTGTTTTGACACATTCACAGCTAGCTAAGTTAGTACAATAGCAATCCATAGCAACGCGACATAATATGCAAACAAGTTAAGAGAGCAATTTACCAACTGAGTCTTCTTCATTCTGCTCTAGTTGTTCACTTATTTCTCCTTTCTGCTTTCCCACTGCGACGGCGACCAAAATTATTAGCATTCCTATTAATAAGGTCAAGGCAATAAGAGCCGCAAACTCCATCTTCGCCGAGTTTGTGCCACGTTAGCACTAGCTATTGTAACAGCACAGCTAGCACGCTAGCAAACTCCTTTGACACAAGAGGCTAGCCTGGTTAGCTACTTGCTGTGGCTGCAGCTTTGTTCAGCTAACAATATCGTTGTATTTAAATAGTAACAATACTGTTGTAGTTATTAACTGTATGATAACGAATAATCTAACTTGCTTTACACATGCATACAAAATCAGTTACTGAAGTCAGCAGCAGATAACTGAGTTCTAACGTAAACCTCAATTTTTCAGCAGGCCGTAAAGTATATTGTCCACTTGCGGAAACGTGGGTGTCGTGGAGACATTCATGAAACATAGCTAATGATAACACATTCTCTTTTTAAAAATACTCTAAATTCGTTTTGTAGCAATGGCTTTGTACACGAAAGCTGCCGAGATTCTCGAGAAAGTGGAGAGGAAGCAGGCTACTGTAAAGACTTTGGTTTACGATAGTAAATTTCAGGTAAATTACTACAGTTTACTGAGTAGCTATTATTAGCTTGCTAACGCCTTGCTTTGTCAACATTTGCCATGTAGCTAACCAGTACACACACATAACACAGGCAACAACTTGCTGGTCATGGCTAGAAGCAAAAAATCCTGTGTGTAAAGTGACTTAAAACAGTAGTGTGTTGATATTGTTATAATGTTCTCACCTCACCAGAATATCAAGCAGCTTTTTGCCCTGGTGTGTGAGACACGGAAGTTTTCATCCATTCTCCAAGAGATCATTGAGTCCACCAAACTCCTTAAACAGACTAAGATCAAAATGAATCTAGCCAAGGTAATGTGAAACACATGGATACAATTCTCTTCCCCATCATGCCTTTTTGAAGAAAGCACGAAGTCCATTCAGTCCCTCCAACAGAGTTCTTCAAGCCTGGTCCTGGGAACCCACAGGTCATAATATGCAGGCATTTGTTTCTGCCCATTACGAACACACCTGATTAGCTACTGTAATTGAATCAGGCGTGTTAGAACAGGGATATAACAAAAGCCTGCACACCCTGTGGCTCAGATTCCCAGGACCAAGATTGAAGAACACTGATCCAACACTGGCTGGTAGCTTACCTCTTGTTTGGTCCTGTCCACATTACACAGGTTCTGGTGTATGACCTGGTCATCGGTAAGGGGCTGAAGTGTGGCGGAGCCTGGAAGGCTCTGATGATGAAGCACCGCTCCAGACTGCAGGCTGCCCTGGCCCGCATGAAGATCAAGCAGAAGGTCAGCCGCAACCAGGACCTGCTCCCCTCCAGTCTCCAGCAGCCTGAAGGTTGGATTGATTTATCCCTATTACTCCTGTTAGAAAACAAGACATTTGCGCTTCCAAGAGATGAGTGGCATAGTACTGTATCTGCGAGCTGTTCTATAGGCTATAGAGCGCACGTGCCAATACCAAAGTGGGCACATTTGCTATATAAACGCAACATTTTTTGTGACAAAACCATCGGTACAGTTGGAAATGCGATGGAAACCCATTTAACTTGTATTTTTTATTCGGTACATGGGAATTTAACCGCAGAAGTTATTTTTATTACATTTACATTTTAGTCATTATTATTATTATTATTATATTATATTTAGCAGACGCTCTTATCCAGAGCGATTTACAGTTAGTGAGTGCAAACAGATATTTTTTTTTCATACAGAGATGACAGAGAAACCTTTACTTTAACGATGTCAACCATACTGAACAAAAATTTAACGCAACATTTTGCTGAGTTGCAGTTCTATGTGCGCTACGTCATCACACACCGTATTTTACCCTCAACAAGTCACACATCTCTGGTGGGAAAATCCGCATATTGTTTTTATGCAGATTTTAGAATATTTGCATCTAAATCTGTCGCCAATTGGATGGAAACCTAGCTTGTAACCAGGTTTCCATCCAACATTTTTATGCGAGTAAAGTACGTCGGATAAAGAATGTCATGACAGGCCTGATGGAAAAAGCTAATTTTTCGGTAAACTTTCCAAATGTCGACAAAACAAAATATACGCTAGACAAGGTGGGATCATTTTGTGAAAAACCACTTTTCCTTCCAACCATTTTATGCGGATGAATCACCTGACGCATGGAAAAAGTCACCAATGGGCTGATGGAAACATGAAATGCCAGTACAATTTTATAAATGCCGTCAGACCATTTGTTGGTTCGACATGGTGGGATCTTTTGTCTGTAAAATGTATTATGCGAGAAATTGCAGTGGAAACGCCTTTATGCGCAAATATTGATATCATATCGAAGTAATGCGATATGTTGTGTGGTCCTCCCACTACGACTCCGGAAAGCATGCAGTTTATTAAACTACAGATTAAATAAATGATGATGAACTTCACAAGGTGATTAATGTGCAAGGTGATGAGCTTGATGCTCCTTTCCAATAAATATCGACGGTTTTATTCTGGTGACATGATGATCGATGCTTGGCTGCCGTTTGACAAATACAAATAATATCGCTGTAATCCATAATAATCTCCTAATGTAGGTAGCCTACCCGCAATGTAACTGCGAGCTGTTGGTTAAAGCATGTGCCAAGACCAGAGTGGGCATATTCGCTGTATAACGAAGATATTTTTTTGACAAAACCATCAGTACAGTTAAATGCAATGAAAACCCATTTATTCGGTACTTGGAAATTTAACCGCAGAAGTTATTTTCTGTGTACTACGTCTTTTCTGTGTACTACGTCATCACGCACAGCCAATGGAAACCTAGCTATTTAGAAAGTTCACAGATGCGACAATTCCCTGCTACAGTGCGTTTACATTGAACTCACTTGTTGGTAAAAACAGCTGGACGTAATGACGTCACTGCCTAGTGCCTACTGTCTGTCATACTTCACTGGAAATAAGTTAAAGCAGAGATCTGTATATAATGACGAGATGCTCATGTCTCCACCCTAACAATGGGAGTGGTTGTCAAAGGCGGGAAGGCAGGCCTGCATATTAAGCCCATAGAAACGCTTTGGGTTTATTTTGGACAGATTTTGGCGAGAGAGAACCCTCTCTGGTTAAAGGGCGACTGCACTTCCTGATTTGGCCTCGTTTTAGATTCGGTTCATTAAGAAATGCTAGTGGCCATGACTGCATTCAAACATGACTTGGTTTCAGGGTGTGGTTTGATGTGGATGTCATGTATGTTTGCAGGTGGGAAGACTTAGCCTAAATATTTCGCCAATTATATAGACAAAAAAATTAAAGCAACATGGAACAATTTCAAAGACTACTGAGTTACACTAGGCCCTAATCTATGGATTTCCCATGACTGGGGATACAGATATGCATCTGTTGCTCACAGATACCTTTAAAAAGAAAAAGGTAGGGGCGTGGATCAGAAAACCAGTCAGTATCTGGTGTGACCACCATTTGCCTCATGCAGCGCATGACACATCTCCTTCGCATAGAGTTGATCAGGCTGTTGATTGTGGCCTGTGGAATGTTATCCTACTCCTCTTCAATGGCTGTGCGAAGTTGCTGGATATTGGCGGGAACTGGAACACGCTGTCGTACACATCAATCCTGAGCATCCCAAACATGCTCAATGGGTGACATGTCTGGCAAGTATGCAGGCCATGGATGAACAGGGACATTGTCAGCTTCTAGGAATTGTGTACAGATCCTTGCGACATGGGGCTGTGCATTATCATGCTGAAACATGAGGTGATAGCGGCAGATGAATGGCACGACAATGGGCCTCAGGATCTCGTCACGGTATCTCTGTGCATTCAAATTTCCATAGATAAAATGCAATTGTGTTCGTTGTCCGTAGCTTATGCCTGCCCATACCATAACCCCACCGCCACCATGCATTCAGGTTAAGACCCTGGTGAGGACGACGAGCACGCAGATGAGCTTCCCTGAGATTGTTTCTGACAGTTTGTGCAGAAATTATTTGGTTGTGCAAACCCACAGTTTCATCAGCTGTCCGGTTGGCTGGTCTCAGACGATCCCACAGGTGAAGAAGCCAGATGTGGAGGTCCTGAGCTGGTGTGGTTACACGTGGTCTGCGGTTGTGAGGCCGGTTGGACGTACTGCCAACTTTGATGGGGGTGGGAGCCACAAATCCGGAATTTATGAGGGGCCTCAGTGGCTCGTGGGTCTGCGTACCCACGTCCCCACCTTGCGAGCAAAACATTTTAGCAGCCTCCCTCGTGACAGAGAAGAGAAAATGTGTTAGTTATTGTGTTATTTCCTGCTATTCTTTTGCCATGGGGCGTAGAGAAAATGTTACAGTTTTAAAGCAATTTTTTTTGCAATTCTACACATTTTGCCATGGGGTGGAGAGATGATTTAGCAATTTTATAACACATTTCATGCAATTCTACTCATTTTGCCATGGGGCGGAGAGAAAATGAGCAGTTTTACGCCTTGTGTATTCTATTATTCTAACTCTCAAAAGTAAGCTGAGACACCGACTGAGTTCCTAAAAGGGGGCCTACAAAAGGGGGGCTGCCAGCTGCCCACACCTGCTCTAAAATGACATTGGAGGCAGTTTATGGTAGAGAATTGAACATTCAATTCTCTGGCAACAGCTCTGGTGGACATTCTTGCAGTCAGCATGCCAATTGCACGCTCCCTCAACTTGAGACATCTGTGGCATTGTGTTGTGACACTGCATGTTTTAGAGTGGCCTTTTATTGTCCCCAACACAAGATTCACCTGTGTAATGATCATGCTGTTTAATCAGCTTCTTTATATGCCACACCTGTTAGGTGGATGGATTATTGGCAAAGGAGAAATGCTCACTAACAGGGATATAAACAGATTTGTGCACAACATTTGGGAGAAATAAGCTTTTTGTGTGTATGGAAAATGTCTGCAATCTTTTATTTCAGCTCATGAAACATGGGACCAACATTTTACATGTTGCGTTTATATTTTTGTTCAGTGTAGCTTCAGCGTGCTGGTGTGCGACCATGGCAAAGTTGTTTTGACTTTAGATAGCTTAGTTAGGGACCGTCAATAATCATGTTGCACACCTTTGTTTTCTCATTAAATGATTTCAATATTTGTATATGAATTTCTACAATTTATAGTTGGAGGTTTTTAAGTAATAAAAATGTGGAGTTATTAGCATATTAACATATTGACCCATGTGCATTGTGTATTTTATCGATGGCCCCTAACTAGCCCCATAGGGATTTCCAAAGTCAACCCAAATTTACCACAGGTCATGTGCAGCTGCACTCAGAATTTATAATTACTTGTGCGCTGCCAGCTGTGGGCAGTATTGAAACAAACCCAACCTTCATTTACGTTGTGATGCAGTCACAACCACAAAACTCGGTTTTGGACGAGACTGACTTTATGACCAAAATGATCCTTTTTACACTTTGTAGTCAATTTTGACAGTAGAATAAATGTTTGACTCATATCGATGCCACACAGGCTGTTTTCTAAATTATAAGTTGTTTTTTAGGGGCAGTTGCTCTTTAAATGTTACTCGCCTTTTTGTTTGTTAAAGAATAGTCATTTTCTCCTTCCTCAGGCGATCAGCTTCCGAGGTATGTGCGTGTGAACACGTTAAAGACCACGGTGGAGGATGCCATTGATTACTTCAAGAGAGAGGGCTTCTCCTACTTAGGACAGGCCTACAGGTCAGTCAGGGACAGGCCTTTGATGTTTCTTCCTTCCCTGTTTATTCTATTGACTGAGCATCGATTCATTCTAGTGATCGAGGTTGACATGAGGTAAATGAAAATTTGAATGTGTGTTTCTGATGTCCAGGCTCGATGACCTGAATCTGAAGGGGAAATCCTTTGTGGGTGACCTGCACCTTTCAGACCTGCTGGTTTTCTCTGCAAAGACAGACTTCCATGACCACAATCTGTACAAGGCTGGCCACATCATTCTACAAGACAAGGTGAGGGCTTTCAATGCGTCCTTCCTTCCTTGAGGTCATCACTGATCTGTACATGATTGGATGAGGTTACCTGGTCAGATCTATTCTGATAAAAAATAAGTTGCGATTCATTTAGAAGGTATTCTAACAGGGCCTATGGATTTGCCTGTGTACTACTGTCTCCCGTATATCCCAACAGGCCAGCTGTCTCCCTGCGTACCTCCTGAACCCTCCTACAGGCAGCCACGTCCTGGATGCTTGTGCAGCGCCGGGGAACAAAACCAGCCACCTTGCTGCCATCATGAAAAACAAAGGGTAAAACTTGATTGAAATAAAAAGAGGTCCCATTTCCCAGACCCAGATTAAGCCTTCTCCTGGTCTAAATGCGATGCACAAAAAATGAAGGACACTTTCTCTTTCCATGACAGAGACTGACCGGGTGAATCCACGTGAAAGCTATGATCCCTTATTGATCCACTTCAATCAGTGTAGATGAAGGAGTGGAGACAGGTTAAAGAAGGATTTTTAAGCCTTGAGCCAATATGTGTGCTATTCAGAGGCTGAATGGGCAAGACAAAATATTTAAGTGCCTTTGAACGGAGTATGGTAGTAGGTGCCAGGCGCACCAGTTTGTGTCAAGAATTGCAATGCTGCTGGGTTTTTTCATGCTTAACAGTTTCCTGTGTGTATCAAGAATGGTTCACCGCCAACTTGACACAACTGTGGGAAGCATTGGCGTGAACATGGGCCAGCATCCCTGTGGAACGCTTTCGAAACCTTGGTGGAGTCCATACCCCAACAAATTGAGGCTGTTCTGAGGGCAAAAGTGGGGGATGCAACTCAATATTAGGAAGGTGTTCTTAATGTTTTGTACTCTGTACTTTTTCTGGTTCTGGGAAACTATTGTCTAGTAGGAATAGGGTATTAACAATCTTGTGATGTTAATCCTGAAAAAAGAGAAGGTTACTAAAGGAAGGCTCTTTTGATCAAATTTCAAACCACATTGTAAAGGTTACTTGCCTCACCTTATACCTTTGACCCAAACCTATTTTCTCTGACCCGTGTTGAAGGAAGCTGTTTGCCTTCGACCTGGATGCCAAGCGTCTCTCCACAATGTCCACTCTCCTGCTCCGCGCTGGAATCACATGTCAGCAGCTGGCCAATCAGGACTTCCTAAAGGTGGACCCGGACGGGCCCCAGTATAAAGATGTGGAGTACATCCTACTGGACCCGTCGTGCAGCGGATCAGGTAACACAACCTGTCTGTCTGGTGTCCTCAAAACAAAATACAGATGTTTAGTGCTTGTTTATTACTCCAGAAAGATGCACCTCAATGACCCAGAAGGACTCACAAGTCAAAGTATCTGTATGACCTCTAAAACAAGTACCTTCTTTGTACTCGATGTCATTGTTGATCCAATAGTTTTTGTGTGTTTCTCTCTCTCAGGGATGGTGTGTCTGCGGGACGAGGCCTCGCCCTCCCAAAAGGAGCAGGACAAGCGTCGTCTGCAGGCCTTGGCAGCGTTCCAGCTGCACTGTCTCAACCACGCCCTGCGCTTCCCCCGCCTGCAGCGCCTGGTCTACTCCACCTGCTCCATCCATACCGAGGAGAACGAGCAAGTGGTGGCCGCCTGCATGCTGCAGAACCCAGGTTTCAGGTAGGACACAGAAATGTATAATTAAAGCTGCAAGCAGCTTTGCCGGGTTTCAGATGTGTGCCCACTGTGCCACCATCAGGACAAATTGGACACATTGCCCTAGGATGAGCTACTTCTGTACTGTTTACCACACTTACCAAATATCAGAACTCAAAATCAAACCGATCATGCAATAAGTTTTTAATGTATTGGACCGACTGGCACCTAATTTGGTATATAGCATCTATAGATGCACATCTTCAAACACAATATTTTCCAAGACTCTTGCTCAAACAATATGGCCGCTATGAGCCAATGAGCTTGGATGAATGATTTTTTCCTGTCCAACAGCACAACACTTTACAGGTTAGCTAGACTCATATCCCTGAGCATGTGTACCAAATTTAATCACTGAGTCAAACAGATCAAGAGATAGAAACATGTGGTCGATCTGAATGTGCTTAGATATGTTGAGTCTTGACAGTATTTGGAACATGTGTACCAAGTTTTGTTGCAAATGAATATCTGTGTCGGAGTTATATGCATTTGTGCCAGACCACGCCCACATTCATATTTATTGGTCAGTAGCGGCCATGTTATTTGAGATGCTATCTTGGAAAAACATCATTTGTGAGAGCTTGGTCCATAGATGCCATGTATCAAGTTCTGTGCATATCAGTATTTCGGTGCCAGAGGAGTAGCGTTTTAAGTGTTTTTAACAAAATTGAAAATGGTGGAACCTTGAGGAAAATGTGTTCCTTGTGAGGAGAGGGACCTATGTACTGGATTTCAGGACTCTAGGTCACATGGGGTGAGGGGCGTGACCTTTCAAAATGTGCTATTGCTTGTTATAGCGCCACCATGTAGCAAATATGCACGGTAATGGATGAGAGGGTGTATCCCCTGGCCCTTTACCATCATGCAAGGTTGCAACCTAGGCCTTACCATCTCACCGGAATTTGCATTATTTCACAAATCGGCAGAAGGAAAATAATCAAAGCCAACAAATACAATAGGGTTTCACCAGCTTCGCTTCTGAACCCCTAATGATCAATTCCCAAAAAGAATATAGATTTATCATGGAACAGACCTGTATTTGACCTGTGTTTCTAGGATCATAAGAACAGTATAGCATTGTGGAAACTGGCGTAAGCCTATGATCTGAGACACCGGCTTTGTTTTCGCAGGCTTGTTCCACTGCTCCAGCAGTGGCCCGAGCGTGGTCTGGCTCCCCTCACACAGTGTCTCCGAGCCAGCACCACCAAAACCCTCACCCATGGCTTCTTTGTGGCCCTGCTGGAGCGACACACAGCACAGAGTCTAGCAGAGCAGGCCTCCAAAACACTGTGAGTAACAGTTATACATTCAATGAAACTCTCATTAATTGAAAGCAAGGCAACTTAAAAGAGAAAGTCTAGATTATACAGTTGCTATGTGAAGTTAATCAACAGAAATGCAACATTGTTAATGTTAGTCTTCACTGTTGTAGCAATCCGGTCACTGAGATGAGTCCAAGTAGTCCTTCTGCCAGTAAGGACATCCATGAGGCTGAAGATGCCGATATCACAGAAGATGGGGATGAGGTTCAGGAGCCTATTAGCACCACCAAGGATAATACAGAAACCTCAGGAGGAGCAAAGAAGAAGAGGAGGAGGAAGAAAAAGAAAGATGGGGATAAGGAGGCTCTGGAGCCCAAAACCACTGAGGAACAGACAGATACCTCAGGAGGAACAAAGAAAAAAAAGAATGCTAAAGTGGAATGAGACTGACCCTTCAAAGCGACACTGACTTTGGGTGCCTTGGCGGTCACGACTTTGGCTGTCATTTAGACGAGCTATATTTTGCCCTAGCTCGAGTCGACATCGAAGCTAGGCTGTGCCACGTTCGGAAGGCGAACAGTCATGGTGACAATGATTTGGTACCTCTAATCCAGCATTGTCACAATGCCTACATGGCATTGCATTTTTCTACCCAGTCAAGTTCTGATATTATTGTGGAGGGTACTGAATCTGATAAATACCTTTTGTGTATTTGTCTGTTAATGCCATTAGTTGGGCAGTCACTTGTACCCTTGACCATATGTGTATTCCTCAAATAAACATCCAATCTTGCATTTGTTTTTTTGATCGGTTCAAATGTATAGACGTGTTCAGACAGACCAGTCACTAAGATATCTTTATCACATTTTATTTAAAACCAGTACATTTCAAGACATGAGCAGAGGGGAAAATGTTATAATACACTGCCCATGTCTGCACATTCACTCTTCTCGAACTGCCCATTGGAAACGCAAACATCTGCTCACACACAGTCACAGTAATATCCCTACATCACTCTCAAACACTCATAATTTAAGACGTCCAGCTCGAACACTTTGCATGTTTTAAAAAGTCTACATTTCATGTGTCATTTGGTGCTTCTTCGACAACAAAATAAAACACATGGAAAAGCCTTGGCCCTTGATTAAATCCATACAGGTAGGTACAGCCATAATAAGTCAAAATGTTAAACACTACTTCTTTACACAGCTCTGCACAAGGCTAAATGACAATGTTCGATTTACAAATGACTGCATTTGCTGATCAACTGAAGGACATCAAAGCACAAAAGTCACAAATCAGAGTAACTAAATATACTACATTCAATGTTTTGTGCTTTTCAATTGTGCATACGCAAGATCTGGACTAACAAGATAAGACAATGATAAAGTCCTGTCTATGGGAACAAACAAGGTGGCCAGGCCATTCAAGGTGGTTTGAGTTGACAACACCTTAACCACATTGTCCACCCATGTGTCATATGCAGGTATCACAAGATGCAAAAACACTTTCTCACTTCACTTCGAAATAACTGAGGTGGGGTGCTATCAATTGTTTTAAAGGGATTTTGAAGTATAACACAAAAACATGGGTATCATACATCGTGGAATGATGCTGCATATTGAAAGGATTTCAAATAATGAACAGGGCCTTGTGTCCCAGCAAAATAAACTCGCATTCAAGCCAGTCCTTTTCTATACACACCTACACTCACACAGTAACACACGCAAAGCCACAAGTCTCAAGCAACACAATTCACCTTTGTCAGGCTTGTACTGTACACAATGATCAGACAGCATTCATATACAGTACTCATACAGTAGCAGACTAAGTATGCTCTCCTATAAAAAAAAGTGGAGCTCTTACAAAGGGAAACTTTTAGACGCTTTTATTCCACCATTGCATTACGGTTGAGGAAACCTTAACTAGAAAAATGATTCTAATTGCCTCAGTGAGCCAAGCTTGAAGGAATTCTAAAAGGCAACCTGCCTTAATACAAAAATAATGTTTGTGTGCATTTGGCACTATTTAGCCAAATCATACCCCAACACACATTCATACACTGCTCCACCCCTCTTGATACAGAACTACCCTAACTGGCTCGACCAGGAGGGTTAAAAATGAGTATTCAAAATCCTAGTTCTGTATCAAGAGGGGTGGACCAATTAAGAACCGATTCAACACCAGAGGTCATTTTTGTAACCTACATGGTTAGTAAAATGTTTAGCGCACAACAAAGAGGTTAGGTTTGAATTTTAAGACAATTCCCCTCCAGTTCCTTTAGTCCTGAGTTTCGATCCAGCATTAATGAAAATAACATATCTTTCTGTGCACATTTGTGAATCCAGTTGTATAGTCACACAAACACATTCATCAATACATTGTTTTAAAAAGTCCCATCAAAACTCCTAACCTCACCCACATTGAATGTGCAGGTAAAACCATGATCGGCACTACCACTATGCCACCATTCACCACTTTATTTCCTCCAAGCCTGACTCACCGAAGCAAAAATAGTAACAAGCTAAAAACACCAGAAAATACTTGAGGGGATTCATACAAGGGAGGGGAAAGCGGTTTGACTGCTGAAGGCGCAAGTACAGTACGTCTATCTTCAACATTTAGGAGGGGAGCATGTAAACTCCAAACTCAGTTCTCTTATAAACGCACTCATCTTTGTCTTGATAGTATAAAGATGCAGGGGTATTGCGGTACAGGGCCCACCCAGATGTTTCTAGTTTCTATCATTGCCAATCTGATGAAGGTGGGGGCTAGCATTCAAGACAGAAATTGTTCTGTGCCATGTTATTGGTGAGGAACACGTAGAACACTGGATTTAACTGATCAAACAGGTTCTTCTTCAATCAAGACTGTGACTAGTTGAATCTGTGTTCAGTGCTGGGCTGGGGAAAAATCCTTCATCTCCTATGGCTCTCCAGGACCACTTTACCCATCCCTCCCATAGCACACCTGCTCTGATTGACCACGTTTAAAATGCATCCTTACTTCCTTTCTCGCTTGTAGTAATAACTAGGTTAGGATAAGTGGAAAGTACAGCAACTTGCTTTTACGCATCCAATGTAATACAATCCTCAGAAGTTACTTCAAGGAGAGGAGGAAGGATTTGTTAACATTCTCAATCAGTCCCCAGATCTGTCTTGAATGCCCCCACCTCCCATCTTCACTATGGTGATAGCAGGAGTAGAGTGGGGAAAAGGAGAGGTAGTCTAGTACAAAAGGACCCATGAAAGGACTTAGTGGTAGAAGAGAGATTATTTTGTAGGTCAAACCTTAAGTATTGGCTTTGGTTTTCAGCGCAAGTCCAGGGTAGCCTATTTACACCAACACAATATCGACCCATTAATGACTACAACCCTGGGACTCCACATTATGTATACATATTTTATGTTTAACCGATCCCGTGATGGCATTCTGATAAAGGATTTTATTGTTTACCTTATTCTGTCATTCAGGATCAAACAAGTATAACAAATTCCATTGTAGGAATGCTTCCAAGTATAACAAATTCCATTGTAGGAATGCTTCCCAGTGCCTGTGATACTGTACAATAATACAAGGGCATCTCTGGGACCACTACACTAAGCACTCATTCAAAACAGCTAAGGCCTAACTAGTGCAGAGATGCCATATACCAGTCTTCATTAACTGAGTGAAATAGTCTTTAGGAATCCAAATAAAAAATCAATTTAAAATGTAAAATAAACGCAATTCATTATCTCAAAACTGTCAACATCTCCTATACATTATGGTTCCCATGTACAGCTGGATAAATCCACACAGATCATACTGTATGTGAGCCCTATTTTGACCGTGGGCATACGTCAGAAACACACGTTCAGCCCTTGTATAGCCGTTAACGCACAGCCCTGCTTAGAATTTAATACAAAAACAAAGTGAGCGTGTCTCGATTCAACTGTACCGCATGTCAGATCTGAACAAAACCTCTTCTGTCAGCAAGTCCCTCAAAGTCAAAAGGATTTCAAGTCTTTTCTCTTTCAAGTATAATACACTATCGTTTTGCCTCCTATCCCCCTTTCTTTTCCTCACTGTGAGAGTGGCTACACTGTCAGTAGAGCGGTAGGCATCCTAGGAGGGGTGTATGTGCTCCTCTGCTAACCCTGTACCACAAAGCGGGCCAGCCCAGGCCGGCCAGGGTAACAGGAGGGTAGGGAGGGCTGTTGGTCTGACTGGGGTTACAATGGAAAGCTGTGTTAGCCATATTAGCCATAGCAGTAGCTCCTCTGGGGGGTGTCATGGCAGTGCTGAATGGTAAGGGCTTCCAAGCCATGCCAGATGCTACCACACCTGGCTAGGCTACTTCTTCCTGGGGTGCTGCCTTCGGGCCTGTAGCCTCTGGCGCGCCCCTGATGTCTTGGAGCCAGCGCCGATGGAGAACGAAGGAGCTGATGGAGAGCCTGGTCACAAAGAACAAGAGAGGAGTTTGTGTGTCAATACAAAAATCACAGCTTCAGAGTCAGAAAGAAATACAGATGTGATGGTAATTGAATAACCGTGTAACTCACGGTTATGGAAGACCATCATGAAAATAAAATAACCGTCAAAACCGTTTAAATAGGCCTACATTCATTTTAGGATTTTAAAAAAAATTCTTAACTTTATTTTCATGTAGATAAACTTTACCTAATAGTGGGAGTGTTCACTAATGATAAGCAATTGTTTTGCTAACTCCGTCTCTTTCCAACTTTCCTTTGACGCTCGAGCAGCTAATCCACTAGAAGCGCGGGGGTGTAGAGCACTACAGGCTTTGGCACTTCAGTATAAAAATCGTTTGACATGTGGACTTTCTTTTATACAATGCACGTTTCCATTGCTTGCTAGTAAACAAATAAATCGATTTTCAAAAAAAAAGGTTGGATGTGTGACTATTCAACAGCAGTCGACAAGGTTGTTCTGCCTATGAGGCCTATAATGTGCTAATGTGTCAAATGGACAATGCGCCAATCCTCTCCAACCTGGTATTGTATAATTTGATAAGGAATATTTTCTTAATTTATACACTACTTAACGCTGATCAGGCCGATATGCCGCCCTAGGCGAGACCAAATAAATTGCCGCCCTCCTATCCCCACAAAGTAGAATAGTAGCCTAGGCTATACAGTGTTGGCCCGCAATGCACTTTTATGAATGCCAAGTGGTAGCCTACCGTTTGAAAAAACAGGCAATTTATCGTTAATCCCTGTCATTTGGTTACATTAAATTCTGTCCCCTATATACTTTCCTTGTCAATAAATTATCTTATAGCCTACTTTCGGAAAGCCTAGGTTTTTTTCTTACATTTTAAGGAAAGGATAAATATTTGCTAGTGTCTGACATACGCTGGTGGCTTTGATTGATGGGTGCATTTACAGGGCTGTGCGTGTGTGAGTTCGCTGATTCTCTCTATAGGCCTATACACTATATATATACACAAAAGTATGTGGACTCTGCGATTTCAGCCACACCTGTTGCTGACAGGTGTATAAAATCGAGCACACAGCCATGCAATCTCCATAGCTAAACATTGACAGTAGAATGGCCTTAGTGAAGAGCTCTGTGACTTTCAACATGCCACCTTTCCAACAAGTCAGTTCGTCAAATTTCTGCCCTGCTAGAGCTGCCCCGGTCAACTGTAAGGGCTGTTATTGTGAAGTGGAAACATCTAGGAGCAACAACGGCTCAGCCGCGAAGTGGGAGGCCACACAAGCTCACAGAACGGGACCGCTGAGTGCTGATGCGTGTAAAAAATCATCTGTCCTCGGTTGCAACACTCACTACTGAGTTCCAAACTGCCTCTGGAAGCAACGTCATCCCAAAAACTGTTAGTCAGGAGCTTCATGAAACGGGTTTCCATGGCCGAGCAGCCTAAGATCACCATGCGCAATGCCAAGCGTTGGCTGGAGTGGTGTAAAGCTCGCCACCATTGGACTCTGGAGCAGTGGAAATGCGTTATCTGGCGTGATGAATCACGCTTCACCATCTGGCAGTCCGACGGACAAATCTGGGTTTGGCGTATGCCAGGAGAACGCTACCTGCCCCAATGCATAGTGCCAGCTGTAAAGTTTGGTGGAAAAGGAATAATGGTCTGGGGCTGTTTTCCATGGTTTAGGCTAGGCCCCTTAGTTCCAGTGAAGGGGAATCTTAATGCTACAGCATAATTTTTTTTTTTTTAAAGCACCTTTATTTAACCAGGTAAGCCAGTTGAGAACAAGTTCTCATTTACAACTGCGACCTGGCCAAGATAAAGCAAAGCAGTGCGATAAAAACAACAACACAGAGTTACATATGGGGTAAACAAAACAAAGTCAAAAATACAAACAGAAAATATATATACAGTGTGTGCGAATGTAGTAAGTTATGTAGGTAAGGCAATAAATAGGCTATAGTGCAAAATAGTTACAAATTCGTATTAACACTGGAATGATAGATGTGCAAAAGATGATGTGCAAATAGAGATACTGGGGTGCAAATTAGCAAAATAAATAACAATATGGGAATGAGGTAGTTGGGTGAAATCGCAGTCCACAATGACATACTAGAAGATTCTGTGCTACCAACTTTGTGGCAACAGTTTGGGGAAGGCCCTTTCCTGTTTCAGCATGACAACATCCCGTGCACTAAACGGGGTCCATACAGAAATGGTTTGTCGAGATCGGTGTGGAAGAACTTGACTGGCCTGCACAGAGCCCTGACCTCAACCCCATCGAGCAACTTCGGGATGAATTGGAACGCCGACTGCGAATCAGGCCTAATTGCCCAACATTAGTGCCCAACCTCACTAATGCTCGAGGCTGAATGGAAGCAAGTCCCCGCAGCAATGTTCCAACATCTAGTGGAAAGCCTTCCCAGAAGAGTGGAGGCTGTTATAGCAGCTAAGGGGGGGACCAACTCCATATTAATGGCCATGATTTTGGAATAAAATCTTTGACGAGCAGGTGTCCACATACTTTTGTTCATGTAATGTATGTCCATTCAGAAAGTTTCCTAAAGTAGCCTGTCTGGACTCCATCTCTAATAAGATTCAAACACTCATTACGGCATCCTCTCGTTGAAGAACATATGCCAATGCCATTGAATGACCGCAGCAGCAGGGTTTGTGACGTTATGCGAATATTTTGGGAAAAATGGGAGAAAACCCATCGAACTTCGTTTGAATGGTTCTCTGCGTCGAAATAGGATCTGTATTTTATGCAGAAAAGCCAACAGACAAGGACAAGTTAGGCATACATCTTTATTTTGACTCCATTAATGTTGTGTCAATACGACAGATCCTCTCCAAACTGGTATTTCTTAATATTTATAAATAATAACCTGAATAATAATAATGAAATCCCCCCCCCAGAACAGTTATGTTGGTGTCAGTGTACTGGCCAATTACCGTAACCTCAAATTCCAAGACCGTCACAACCCTAGGAAGAAACACACAGCACATGCTTTTTGCTGCACACTTCAGGCAGAAGGCGGGAGAATCAGAATTTTCTTACCGAATGGTGAGGATGCCATAGCACTGAATCCTTGGACTGGAGTTCCTGGGCTTCCAAAGGGGACAGGACCTGCTGCTGTGCTCTGGCCAAAAGCAGGGGTAGATGTCCCTGTACATGTGACAGCAATAAATGAACAATTAGGAACTAGAATAAAAGACATCAAACTTTGGTTTGAACTGGCCCTATGAATTGGCAAAAAATTTAAAATGCTACTTCTGCCACCAAATGCAGAATTGATAAACATTTGTAATTGTGTGGCATGGATGAAATCAAAATCAGTAAAAGAGTGGGTCTTTTATTATACTAGATATACTAACCAAAGGCTGGCTTGTCACTAGCAGCAGCCCCGAAGTTGAAGCCTGGCGTCTGTGTTGTGGGGTTAGGGGTTCCAAACTGAGTGCCTGAAATGGCCGCGCCGAAGTTGAATCCTCCGGTGGCTGGCTGGGCAGGGGTAGCAGGGGCCTGCTGTGTGGACACACCACCAAATGAGAAGGTTGGGGCGGAGGCTGGGAGTGTGCCGACAGTCTGGGTGGCAGAGCCAAAGGCAGGGGCTGCTGGGGTGGCCGGGGAACCCGTGGTGTTGCCAAATGCAAAACCTGTGGAGTTGCCTCCAAATGCCAGCTTAGTGGTGGTCCCAAAGGTAGAGGCCACTGTAGTGGCAGCCGCGCCAAAAGCAAAGGGGGCAGGGGCTGGGGTGGCCCCAGCTGCAGCTGACCCAAATGTGAAAGGATTAGCTGCCGCAGGAGCAGCCGGGGCCTGAGTCGCACTGGGGAACGCTGATGCCGCCGGAGCTTCGAACGACGACTTCCCAAACGTGAACGTGGACTGGCTTGCAGGTGCGGCAGCAGTAGCAGTGGCTGCAGTGGCCATGCCAAAGCCACTGAAGGATGCGGTGGTAGAGTTCTGGGTGGCTGCAGCCTGGCCAAAGGTGAATCCCCCCTGGGCGGTGGCTGAGGGGGCAGGTTGAGTGGCGGCAGAGGCGGTGGTCATCGCACCAAACGAAAAGCCGCTGTTGTTAGTGGTAGTGGCTGCGGTGGAGCGGAGGGTGGGTGCAGGAGTTGTGGTGGAGGCGGCGCCGAACTGGAAGGTACTTCCTGTGGCAGGGGCAGTGGTTGTGGCAGCGGTCGTTGCAGGCAGCGCACTCCAGTTTCCAAACAGAGACTTGACAGATGGCGAGGCGGCTGGTTCGGTGGAGGGGGCTGGAGCTGGAGCGGTGCTGTTGGACAGCCCAGTGAACAGGGAGGCGGCTGGGGCCACCGTACTAATGTTGGTTAGCCCGCTGAACACTAAGGCAGACGCGCTGGCTTTGGAGGGAGCTGAGGTGGAGGCTGGCTGTCCAAAAGCACTGGTGGCTGTGGCGCTTCCAAATATGGGTTTAAAGGTGGGAAGAGCAGGTGTGCCCTCTGGGGCTGAGGCTGGGGCCGCAGCCCCGAAGATGGGCTTGAACACAGAGGCCAGGAGGGGATTATTACTACTGGTTGCTTCTGTGGTGGCGGTTGAGGTGGTGGTGGGGGCCGGTGAGGAGGACAGGGCGGTCAGTGGATTGGCCAGTCCAAACAGGCTAGCTCCACCCAGGGTGGGGACACTGCTGGGGGCCTTGGTGACTTGGCTCAGCACCTGGGTGAAGGCAGAGGGCATGGTGCTGGCAGGCTGGGAGAGGGAGGGTAGTGCAGGCTGGGAGAGGGAGGCTGGTGTGGGCTGAGGAGCAGTCAAGCTAGTTTTCGACTTCTGCTCTGCAGGCACCAGTGGTGCAGGGGTCGTCACCGCTGTCACCAAGGAGACAGCCGGAGCGGGAGGGAAAACAAGAGAAAAATAGGCTTTTGAGTAACAACTCAGATAAAACTAACAATCATCACTCAACGGCAACCACCAAACAAAGTGGCTTGCAACTTTACATTTTTGATATGTGATTAACAGACCTGTAGTATTGGCAGCAGCAGTACTGGTGAGGGGGTTGTTCCTCATCATTTTCAGAGACTCCAGGAGGGGGTTGGCTGCGGGGGTTGTGGTGGTGACGGGGGAGGCTGTGGAGGTTGGGGCCGTGCTGACGGTGCTTGAGGGGACGGGGTCCAGGTTGATGACAGGGATAGGAGCAGCCACACTGGAAGGTGTTGATACGGGAAGATGGCTGGCCAGCAGGGTGGCCAGGGTGGGTGTGGGGTCGTTTGACACGGGAGGCTTAGAAGATGTGGTCACTACTGGAGCTGGCGCAGGCTTCTCTGGCTCTGGAACTAAAAAATGGCCCCAAATCAATATCGTATTCTTTTTTTGTGTGACACTGGTTTATAAAAGTCGTGATTTGGGAATACTCACCAGGCTCTTCGAGGACTGTGTTGATCTGGCTGAGAGCGGCTTTCTTCTCCTGATCCAGGTCTTTCACCGTGATTGTGTAGCCCAGCTCAGGAGGTGGCGGCTGCAGAGACAACATCAATGTTAAGATTCCCTGTCTGTCAGATGATTAGCCACATGTCCCATTTGAGTACATGTTCTATTATGCAGTATTGCTCACCAGAGAGATTTGGTCTCCTCTACGGCTGGACACCAGCGGAATCTTGCGTTTCCGTTTCCCGCTACCGGCAGAGTCTGACGAGGCTGAAGCCACAGGGACTTCAGGGGCTGGAGTCAGCTTCCCTGTAACAGGTCATACAGCGCATTGACTTAATGTGGTGGCTACAGTTATTTTAAATCAAAATGTAATTCTCTTTTGGGACATGACTAAAGCCCTGAGCCTGATCTGAAATACGCATCACAAACATGTTCTAACCAGTGGTGGGTGCTGGGTCTGTCAACGTCTTGTCAGACCTCGCCGAGGACGCAGAGCTGGGCGAGCGAGCATCCTCTTCCCTGACATACAGAAAAAACAAGGTCACACACTGCTAGCAGCCATGGCAGCTCTAACTTAGAAATGTTGTCTAGAAGGAGGAAGGGTGAATACCTGGGCTTTTTAGAGGCTCTCTCTGGGGTCTGGGACCGGGACGACCCTGGGCTGGAGAGCGGGGAGAGGCTGCGGGTGGAGGCTTTTTTCCGCTTTAAAACAAACGTGAAAATTAGGTTTAGGTTAGCACTCACCCCGGTTTTCTGACACAATACAGCTCAGTGTAGGTCAGCTCCAGGGTTTCCATTAGGAAAATGTGGCGGCGGACAACGTCACCGGGAAGATTTAAATTTACCGGACCCATATGCATTGGGTGCATAACCCATTAGGGTGTCCACCCACAGTGCTCAGAATGACAGAAATCACATTTAGATTATGGTAATTCATCTTAATAGAACATGCAACTCATGTAATAAAGCAGCCAATAAAACATCATTTTCAAACACTTGCCAAAATGCAATTAGCAGGAAAACACCATTCTAAACAGCGCACCTGATGGGAGCAGTTCCATATGTGACAGAGATTAAAATCTCCATTAGAAACTTAGAAAGAGGAGGAATCTAAAGATGCACTATGACGGTTGCTAATATGACTAGGATTGTGCCTTTGTCTTCTGGACAACGAAAGAAAGTTGTTATGAAAACCAATAGAACAGGAGAGAAATAATGGTTTCAATGGCATATGAGGAAGTCTATAAAATAATTGCCTCCACGTTTGTATGGGCGGATTTTGCCTATTCTTTGAATTAAGGTAAGACACGCCTCATAATATGTATATGTTTTCAAAATAAATAGCCTACTTCCTCCAGCTAACATTGCAAAGTGGTGGTTGTCGTGCTGATATCCTGCCTACCGTTGCCAATGCACTTGAAAGGTGAATGGGAAGCGTGCTTCAATTACCAGTTAAGAAAAAACTATAACTCCTTTTAAATCGTGGCCATCAAAACAGTTAACATGCGATTGCATTTAGAATTGTTGCACAATGACTGCACGTTTCACTCCAGTAGCAATGACTGCACGTTTCACTCCAGTAGCAATGACTGCACGTTTCACTCCAGTAGCAATGAGCTGAGGAGCTGCAGCAGCTCTAGCTCTGTCTGAGGTGATATTCCTCTCAAAATAGGCTCCATCTGTTGTGCGTGTGTGAAAAATAAGATACAAGACAATTTCATTACAATAAATTACGCAAATTAACTTATAGACCGATATGCATGACGGTCAAATGTATTAGATGAGGGCCTAACCTAACGCAGAGAGTTACTCCGCTGTGATAACAGTCAACGCAACAAACTCCAAGAAAAAAAAAAAAAGCTATATAAAGAAAGGTTGGAATATAATAGAGAACTAATATTGACAGAATATTGTGATAGCTCTGATCTCTCTCGTGTTCTGTGCTATGAACTGCTTCTCTCTTGGAGACATGGCAGCACCGCCGGAGGACTTTGATATCCCATGATGCCGCGCGTCAACATAGCCAATATATAATTTATTTGCGAGCCCCTATGAGCGCAGATTCTGCGCAAAACAATGTTTTACTGTTTACAATAGTTTATTGCAAAAATAAATCAGAAAATCTGAGAAATGTAATTGCTCTCACTTGGGTTTTAAACCAGCCGGCTTTTAAAAATAATGATTACTTAATCAATCATACATATGTGTCTTCTGAGGTATGGCTGAAGAAGCTATATGAGAAACAGCTCTAGCGCTGTCTGAAGTGATATTCCCCTCAAAATAGGCACGGTTTGTTGTGCGTGTGATAAATAACATAAAGTTGAAGTCGGAAGTTTACATACACTTAGGTTGGAGTCATTAAAACTCGTTTTTCAACCACTCCACAAATTTCTTGTTAACAAACTATAGTTTTGGCAAGTCGGTTAGGACATCTACTTTGTGCATGACATGTAATTTTTCCAACAATTGTTTACAGACAGATTATTTCACTTATAATTCACTGTATCACAATTCCAGTGGGTCAGAAGTTTACATACACTAAGTTGACTGTGCCTTTAAACAGCTTGGAAAATTCCAGAAAATGATGTCATGGCTTTAGAACCTCCTGATAGGCTAATTGACATCATTTGAGTCAATTGGAGGTGTACCTGTGGATGTATTTCAAGGCCTACCTTCAAACTCAGTGCCTCTTTGCTTGACATCATGGGAAAATCAAAACAAATTGTAGACCTCCACAAGTCTGGTTCATCCTTGGGAGCAATTTCCAAATGCCTGAAGGTACCACGTTCATCTGTACAAACAATAGTACGTAAGTATAAACACCATGGGACCACGCAGCCGTCATACCGCTCAGGAAGGAGACACGTTCTGTCTCCTAGAGATGAACGTACTTTGGTGCGAAAAGTGCAAATCAATCCCAGAACAACAGCAAAGGACCTTGTGAAGATGCTGGAGGAAACGGGTACAAAAGTATCTATATCTACAGTAAAACGAGTCCTATATCGACATAACCTGAAAGGCCGCTCAGCAAGGAAGAAACCACTGCTCCAAAACCGCTATAAAAAAGCCAGACTACGGTTTGCAACTGCACATGGGGACAAAGATCGTACCTTTTGGAGAAATGTCATCCGGTCTGATTAAACAAAAATAGAACTGTTTGGCTATAATGACCATTGTTATGTTTGGAGGAAAAAGGGGGGGCTTGCAAGCCGAAGAACACCATCCCAACCGTGAAGCACGGGGGTGGCAGCATCTTGCTGTGGGTGTGCTTTGCTGCAGGAGGGACTGGTGCACTTCACAAAATAGATGGCATCATGAGGAAGGAAAATTATGTGGAAATATTGAAGCAACATCTCAAGACATCAGTCAGGAAGTTAAAGCTTGGTCGAAATGGGTCTTCCAAATGGACAATGACCCCAAGCATACTTCCAAAGTTGTGGCTTAATGGCTTAAGGACAACAAAGTCAAGGTATTGGAGTGGCCATCACAAAGCCCTGACCTCAATCCTATAGAACATTTGTAGGCAGAACTGAAAAAGCGTGTGCGAGCAAGGAGGCCTACAAACCTGACTCAGTTACACCAGCTCTGTCAGGAGGAATGGGCCAAAATTTACCCAACTTATTGTGGGAAGCTTGTGGAAGACTACCCGAAACGTTTGACCCAAGTTAAACAATTTAAAAGGCAATGCTACCAAATACTAATTGAGTGTATGTAAACTTCTGACTCACTGGGAATGTGATGAAAGAAATAAAAGCTGAAATAAATCATTCTCTCTACTATTATTCTGACATTTCACATTCTTAAAATAAAGTGGTATTCCAAACTGACCTAAGACAGGGAATTGTTACTAGGATTAAATGTCAGGAATTGTGAAAAACTGAGTTTAAATGTATTTGGCTATGGTGTATGTAAACTTCCGACTTCAACTGTACATGACTAACGAAAATACAAGCAAGCCAATTTAATTCCACTAAATTATGCCAATTAACCTATATACCGATAAGCATGACTGTCAAATGTATTTCCATCAACTGGTATTTCTATCAATTAAAAGCATTATTTTGCAGTGGAATTGTTTTTTCTCCTGGTCAATTTGGCCGGCAACAAATTATTAGCTGGTCATTTATTTATTGCCAAAAACCTGCAATTACCGGCTAACGGAAACCCTGGTGAGCTCTGTCAACTGAACTGCTGGCTGTTGATCCCAAACAGAGGAATCCATCAGAGGTGTACGGCCCATCCCAATTATAAAAGGTACCTGAGCAAAGCCTTGTGAGGAGCTGAGGGAGCTGAGGATGGAGTTGCGGACCGTGCCCAGGGTGCCGCTGGGGGTCAGGCCACAGCTCACAGAGCTGATGGAGAAGGTGCGTGACCTCTTCATTGTTGACTCCTCCACCATAGCATTTAGCCCTCGCTTCAGAGTACTGGGCCGACAGAGGAGACGGGAGTGGAAACAGGATTTCAGAAGTGATTGGAGGAGGGGATACAGTATTTGGATGATTAATGAGATATGTTTAGTTAGTTACACACATACATACATATATCTATATACACACAGCTGTGGAAAAAATTAAGAGACCACTGCACATTTTTCTTAAATCAGCATCTCTACATGTATGACAGCCATTCCATTCCAGTGTCTGTTGAATTCCAACACAGGCACACCTCATTCTACTGAATTGGGTACTGATTAGGTGATCACATGAACCTAATCTTATTTACCGAGGAAAAGTATAAAAACCACTGCTGTGGTCATCACTATCCGGTGAAGCAACAGACATTGGGGACAACAAAGCTACAGACAAGCAGAGGGCGAAAACGACTACTGACCGGGATGACCGCCAACTCATTCGAATGTCACTCAACAACCGTAGGATGACATCAAGTGACCTACAAAAATAATGGCAAACGGCAGCTGGGGTGAAGTGCACGCCGAGGACGGTTCGAAACAGGCTCCTAGGGGCAGGGCTGAAGTCGTGCAAAGCTAGAAAAAAGCCCTTCATCAATGAGAAGCAAAGAAGAGCCAGGCTGAGGTTTGCAAAAGACCATAAGGATTGGACCATAGAGGACTGGAGTAAGGTCATTTTCTCTGATGAGTCCAATTTTCAGCTTTGCCCAACACCTGGTCGTCTAATGGTTAGAAGGAGACCTGGAGAGGCCTACAAGCCACAGTGTCTCGCACCCACTGTGAAATTTGGTGGAGGATCGGTGATGCTCTGGGGGTGCTTCAGCAAGGCTGGAATCGGGCAGATTTGTCTTTGTGAAGGACGCATGAATCAAGCCACGAACAAGGTTGTCCTGGAAGAAAACTTGCTTCCTTTTGCTCTGACATTGTTCCCCAACTCTGTTTTTCCAGCAGGACAATGCGCCATGCCACACAGCCAGGTCAACCAAGGTGTGGATGGAGGACCACTAGATCAAGACCCTGTCATGGCCAGCCCAATCTCCAGAACTGAACCCCATTGAAAACTTCTGGAATGTGGAATCAAGAGGAAGATGGATGGTCACAAGCCTTCAAACAAAGCCGAGCTGCTTGAATGTTTGCGCCAGGAGTGGCATAAAGTCACCCAACATCAATGTGAAAGACTGGTGTAGAGCATGCCAAGACGCATGAAAGCTGTGATTGAAAATCAGGGTTATTCCACCAAATATTGATTTCTGAACTCTTCCTAAGTTAAAACATTAGTATTGTGTTGTTTAAAAATTAACATGAACTTATTTTCTTTGCATTATTCGAGGTCTGACAACACTGCATCTTTTTTGTTCTTTTGACCAATTGTCATTTTCTGCATATAAATGCTCTAAATGACAATATTTTTTATTTGGAATTTGGGAGAAATGTTGTCAGTAGTTAATAGAATAAAAACAAAAATGTTATTTTTACCCAAAGACATAACTATAAATAGTAAAACCAGAGAAACTGATAATTTTGCAGTGGTCTCTTAATTTTTTCCGCAGCTGTATTTAAACTCAGCTAAAAAAGAAACGTCCCTTTTTCAGGAACATGTCTTTCAAAGATAATTTGTAAAAATCCAAATAACTTCACAGATCTTTAATTGTAAAGGGTTTAAACACTGTTTCCCATGCTTGTTCAATGAACCATAAACAACTAATGAACATGCACCTTTGGAACGGTCGTTAAGACACTAACAGCTTACAGACGGTAGGCAATTAAGGTCACAGTTATGAAAACTTAGGACATTAAAGAGGCCTTTCTACTGACTCTGAAAGACACCAAAAGAAAGATGCCCAGGGTCCCTGCTCATCTGCGTGAAAGTGCCTAAGGCATGCTGCAGGGAGGCATGAGGACTGCAGATGTGGCCAAGGCAATAAATTGCAATGTCCGTACTGTGAGACGCCTAAGACAGCGCTACAGGGAGACAGGACGGACAGCTGATCGGCCTCGCAGTGGCAGACCACGTGTAACAACACCTGCACAGGATCGGTACATCCGAACATCACACCTGCGAGACAGGTACAGGATGGCAACAACAACTGCCTGAGTTACACCAGGAACGCACAATCCCTCCATCAGTGCTCAGACTGTCCGCAATAGGCTGAGAGAGGCTGGACTGAGGGATTGTAGGCCTGTTGTAAGGCAGGTCCTCACCAGACATCACTGGCAACAATGTCGCCTACGGGCACAAACCAACCGTCGCTGGATCAGGCAGGACTGGCAAAAAGTGCTCTTCACTGACGAGTCGCAGTTTTGTCTCACCAGGGGTGTTGATCGGATTTGCGTTTATCGTCGAAGGAATGAGCGTTACACAGAGGCCTGTACTCTGGAGCGGGATCGATTTGGAGGTGGAGGGTCCGTCATGGTCTGGGGCGGTGTGTCACAGCATCATCGGACTGAGCTTGTTGTCATTGCAGGCAATCTCAACGCTGTGCGTTACAGGGAAGACATCCTCCTCCCTCATGTGGTACCCTTCCTGCAGGCTCATAGCCACCAGCCATACTGCTCATTCTGTGCGTGATTTCCTGCAAGACAGGAATGTCAGTGTTCTGCCATTGCCAGCAAAGAGCCCAGATCTCAATCCCATTGAGCACGTCTGGGACCTGTTGGATCGGAGGGTGAGGGCTAGGGCCATTCCCCCCCAGAAATGTCTGGGAACTTGCAGGTGCCTTGGTGGAAGAGTGGGGTAACATCTCACAGCAAGAACTGGCAAATCTGGTGCAGTCCATGAGGAGGAAATGCACTGCAGTACTTAATGCAGCTTGTGGCCACACCAGAAATTGACAACTTTTTGTACAGGCATTGCTCATACTCACTTCGGCACCAGCTGTGATGGAGCTCCATTGGGCAGCAGTGGCTCAAATGCAGAGTGAGCACTCCCACTGCTGTCATGGCGCCTAAGTGAACAAAGAGCAGGTGTACATTGTAAACAGTCTTCAAGAGCCACACAATACCAAGAAACACTAAAGTGTGAGAAGAACAATTGTACATTGCATACAATAGCATTTAATCATGTGGTAGTCACATACCTCCTTTTGCTCTTTTGCCCTGCAGTGAAGCTCCTGTCATCTTCATCGTCCACCTCTCTTTTGCGACTCTCTTTGAGCACGCTCAGAACAGTCTCCCTGGAGCAGGGGTCTGCAGGGGCCGCAAGGCCTGGAGAGCCAAGGACTCCTGGAGAGTTCAAATGATCAAATCTGCAGACACAACAACAGCAATTACAGAACAAACGTCAGTTGGGCCATCCAACAACTAAGGATGTTTTCAAGCTTCACAGAGACACTCAAATAATGTGCCACAGAGCGATCACAGAAGTATAAGATCAAGTTGCTTGCATTATCACCAACAGATCTCCAAAAAGTTTGATAGAAAGCTTAAGATGAGGCAAGACAGGGACAATATGACTTACAACGGAGATCGAGTGGTGTTGTGATCTGGCCTAGCGATCTTCACTGTGACTGGACTGTGGACTGCCGGGGAGTTGCGAGGGGTGAGAATATTCTTCTTTCTGAAGCTGTCCCACTGGGCCGGGGGCAGGATGCCCACAGAGGTGGTGCCAGTCTGCTGGAGGGGGTAGTGGCGCTGGGGAGTGATGGTGAACCTGCCCATATTGCCAAGGGGCTCCCTGTACACAACAGATTGACCACAGGATTAGGTCATTGCATTCTATACTAGAAACTGTCTGGCATTGATCATTGCTAAACTGATTTTATATGCCACATAACAAGGACTTTAAAGTAACAAAATAGGGGAAATTTCCTCTGTCAAGGGTCTGAGCTCTGACCAACCATTTGTTTACATATCGACTTTCATAACCTTACCAATGTTTAGAAAATGATAGTAAAAGTTATTGTAACTGCAGTGATCATTACAGCTTAAACGTGTATTACTGTAGTAGCTAGTTAATGCATGTTCAAAACAACATCGCTTGTCTCGTGCCATTCAGGCATCCAAAGTACGGTATAGTCTCGGTCAGGAACCGAGGGGGGGAAGTTACACTCCCTGCCTTGCACAGAATGGAGCCGATAGCAACTCCCACATTTTCAAATCTTGGAGGGAATACTAGGTCGCGTTGCGGCGAAGCAGCAAGTCTTCTCAATATATTTCAAAACACATATGTTTTCCTATTTACTGATAACTAGCTAGCTAAGATAAGAACTTGACCTACATTGTAAAAGTTTAAAATCGTGTTTGACAACTGCACCATGTGTGTAACGTGATCCGCAAGCGAAACATTTTGTTCAGAATTTAGCACATTGCATTGGCCCTTGCAAACCAGTTAGCTACGTTAGCTGATGGTGTTAGGCTAACTAGCCACTGTTAGCTGGTCAGCGAAATGTTATGCTAACGTTAGCTAAGTAAACATTATTTCAGTACTCACCCCCCGAATGACAGTCGTCTGTTTGGAGTATGAACAGCCTGGTTGGGTCGCGCCAATCTTTCGCGTAGTTGTTCTCGTGCGTTGGGGTTAGCACCCGAAATTGCACCGAATCGCGGCCTCCCCACAACTGAGGGAGGACTTTCTGCCTTCCCAATGTAACTTCCCATGAGTATATCCCGAGGACTGAGCAGAAATGAGTCACTGTGTCCCGCGTCTTTCCGATAAATAGCGCTCTCGGAACGTCGTTGGCCAGTAAATACTACCGATTCCCTAACATCACCCTTGACGGTGCGACTTCTGACTCTTCCCGCTGTGGGTACTCCGTTCGCAATCCCTGGCAACCAGCGTCGAAGCACGGGTGGAATCGTGAGACCACGGCGTGGATGTGGGCCTAACGTAACGTAGAGTGATTCTCCGCTGTGATAACAACAGGCAACGGAACAAACTCCAAGAATGAAAGCTATATAAAGAAAGGTTGGAATATAATAGAAAATTAGACAGAATATTGCGATAGCACAGAACACGAGAGAGATCAGCGCTATTAACCGCTTCTCTCTTGGAGACATGGCGGCACCGCGCCGCCGGAGGACTTTGATATCCCATGATGCCGCGCGTCAACATAGCCAATATAATTTCTTCACGAGCCCCAATGAGCGCAGATTCTCAAAACAATGTTTTACTGTTTACAATATTTTATTGCAAAAATAAATCCAAGAATCAGAGAAATGTAATTGCTCTAACTTGGGTATCGCACCATCCAGCTTTTTTAAAATCATTATTCCTTAGTCAATCATACAGATGTGTCTTCTGAGGTATGACTGAATAAGCTTTATGAGAAACAATGACGTCTATGATGAGAGCCACAGACCTGAACCTACAACATTAGGCACATTCTCACTGGTTCATGACAGTGGAGGACATAGACATACAATTTGCTCAAATATCTCATGAGGTCTAACTTATTTCTTGCAGTGATTATCAAATATGTATTTTGCCAGTTTACATTACATTTTAGTCATTTAGCAGACGCTCTTATCCAGAGCGACTTACAGTTAGTGAATACATCTTTAATTTTTTTATACTGGCCACCAGTGGGAATCGAACCCACAACCCTGGCATTGCAAACGCCATGCTCTATCAACTGAGCTACATCCCTGCCGGCCATTCCCTCCCCTACCCTGGACGACGCTGGGCCAATTGTGCGCTGCCCATGAGTCTCCCGGCCGCGGCCGGCTGCGACAGAGCCTGGATTCGAACCAGGATCTCTAATGGCACACTTAGACCACTGCGCCACTCAGGCTCGAACCTCAGCTACATATGTAACTTGTCTTGAGTTCTGAGAGAAGAGAAATATGGCCATGATAATGTATTCATCCAAAACGGATAGTTTACTTATAGGCCTAGGAAGTCGGTAAAATAGGCTGGATTTTTACAAGAGATAGGCCTAGACCCATTATTTTGGGGGTCACGTAAAAATGTAAAAGTCTTTATAATGCAAAGAAGTTTGCCAGCCAGACAAAGCTAAGTGGCCCTGTTATGGTGTTGCTCTTTCTGCCAGGCCTATTGTGGAATGTCTGCAGAGGAAACTGCCATGCCAGCCAGGAAGGGCCTCAGAGCTGCACAGGAATTTCCTTTCACATCTTTGCCAAGGGCTATTATTTCAGTGATTCAGCTTTATTTAGTCATATTTTAACTACATTTACAGCCCAATCCTGATGACACAGGCCTGATGACACATTTTGTACAGATTTCAGTACTGCAATGCAGCTTATCCTGATCTCAAGGTTGGCACAGCTATATTATGTCTCCCAAAGCTATAAACAGAGCATGTTTACCATTCAACAATGTGTCCGATTTCTCATAATTTGGTTAGCTTGAGCAGACCTGTGTTAAAGCCAAACAGCACTGGCTTATAGGCTGCATATAATGTGTATAGCCTTTCATTTGGATGAGCCAGTCAGTCTATGAAAATGAATTTCCTACCACTCCTGGTCAGGGTGATGCAACTGTTTATGGGCTTCCATTCAACCCTAGAAACATGTACAAACTATTTGTTCCATGTATGTTTGGGTTTAGTGAATGTGTTATTCAGACCAACTTTCATGAATACTGGGAGGTAGCTTTGTTCTTGAGGCTGCACTTCCACATATGTCCAGCAGATGTCCATCTCAACACTTTTCTTTTCATCTCTGAAAATCACATCTTTGTGTGAAATGAACTGTTTTCCCCCTTGGGAATGAAATCCCCTCTCCTTCCCAATGTTGTTAATGACATTTACATTTTAGTCATTTAGCAGATTTACATCTTTTATTTTTTTATACTGCCCCCCCATGGGAATCGGACCCACAACCCTGGCGTTGCAAACACCTACCAACTGAGCTACATCCCTGCTGGCCATTCCCTCCCCTACCCTGGACGACGCTGGGCCAATTGTGCGCCGCCCCATGGGTCTCCCGGTCGCGGCCGGCTACGACAGAGCATTAATCTAGCATTAGCACTATACCACCTGTACTTGGTGAAGTCTGGATCATGGATGTACTGCTTACACTTTGATATATGTTGATGCACACAACATTTCAATATAATTGTATTTGTTTTTCAATTTGTTGAAAATATGGAGAGCATGTGATGTCTATTCTTTTTCAAAGTAGTGAACATTTTCATCTTTCTCTCTCTCTGTTCATTGTAATGTACACTGTGTGCGTGCATGTGTGCATGTCTTCGTGGAAAGAGGTTTGTCTAGGGGTTAATGGAGGACCAGCTGTCCCATTACAAGTTTTTAGGGGCAGGTGTGTAACGCTCCTCCCATCCCTTTTCTCTCCCCAAAGCTCATCTCCATTTAGTCACAGGTCAGAGGTCACCCCTAAATCAGTTGGCTCGTGTCGCTAGGGGACTGACACAACATGAAAGACATTATGGGGGTGATGCTGCCTTTGTAAGAGACTCTGTTGTCCTGTAACCCCCCTCTCCCACCCACCCACAAACACCCACCCCTATCCTCCTCCTCCAGTTCTGGTACTTTCAGAGAACAAAGACACCCCAATTGGCAAGGCTCTCACTCACTAGCCATAATCAACTCTGTGCAGATGGCTCTGGGCTAACCGCTCGTCTAATAGCTTTAACCTGGCACTTCTTGGATTAGCATTCTGCTGCCAGACCCCCAGCCAGCATCCACAGGAGAGGCCGGCCAGGCCAATTACCAACCCTAATCTGGATGCGGGCTGTGCCTGGTGGGGTGGGGTGGGGTGGGGTGGGGTGGGGTGAGGGGGACACCCCTGGTACTCTGGGGGACACCCCTGGTACTCTTTCACTGATTTACTCCCTCTCTTTGTCTCATTCCCACTCTCTCTGTCTGACTTACCAATTACCATTGTTTGTCAAAACATGGTCTGCAGAGAGTCTTAATTATGCTGTATCAGATGGTGCTGGTGTTTTGGGTCTGAAAATGTAACAGTCTTTGTGTCTGTTTGTTTTTGTTGTGGAAGGAATATGTAGATCTGCGAATTAGAGGCAACATTCTCTGTTGTTTCTCTCTTTTTGTTTCTTTCTCAACATACATAATTGTAGAAGACCTCCACTGTGGTGACAGTTTTACAGTGCAGTAAATCTTTCAATAAATAGTCATCCACTTATATTGGTCCAGTGATGACAGTCAGATTTAGTCATCATGTGTTTGTATTAACTGAGGTTGATAACATGAAGAGGACTTACTGTATGTCCTTGGTGCTTGTTACACTAAAGCAGGATGTTCTTGTCATACTTAGACAGCCTGAACCAGGACAATCATCTTCACTATAGGCTATGATGAAGCATATTGTTAGTCAGGCTTTATGTATGGTTTAGCATTCAGCAAGCCCGTACAGCAGTGGTGTCAAACTCATTCCATGGAGGGCCTAGTGTCTGTGGATTTGTGGTTTCTCATTTCAATTAAGACCTAGACAACCAGGTGAGGGGAGTTCTTTACTAATTAGTGACCTTAATTCATCAATCAAGTACAAGGGAGGAGTGAAAACCCGCAGACACTCGGCCCTCTGTAGAATGTGCAGTACAGGAAAGGCCTTTTCCTGTATTTGTTCAGTGTATTACCAGAAGCAAAGCATTAGATGTATGTAAACTTCAGTCTGTATGAATAAAGAGAGTATTCTCTAAATTATCAGCAGCTCTGTCCACTTATAATAACACATATACTTTGTATTTACATTAAGGAAGAGAGACAATGAGTGTTTTCAGTGGCACTTGCACCCTGTAGCCTACACCTCAGTCCAATCCCTATGGCGTGCAGCTAACAAACTGGCCTATTCAAACTGGTACAGCTATGTTCCACTCTCTATATATGAACCAGTACTTTAATGTACTGTGTGATATCTCACGTGGCAGCCTGATGGGCCTCTAAGTCATGGTTACAGCGTTGAACAATGGCCACCTTTCATGCTTCTCCCCTCCACCACTGAGAAGCCTGGCACGAGCCAGAAGTATCGCACACACGCACCAAAACACACACATAAACTGTCTTTCACATACAGACACACAAAAATGTACACAGAAATTGTCTCACACACACACACACACACACACACACACACACACACACACACACACACACACACACACACACACACACACACACACACACACACACACACAGCTGAATCAATCTGTATAATCTGAAACCAATGCAGAGATTACATGTCTAATCCAGGGAGAAAACACTGTGCTAAATCGCTGATGGGTTTTGCTTTTCCATTTGAATGCCAGTGAGACAGAACAAGCAAGGACACACACACATTAGAACTCATATACACAAAGACTCACATGTGCTTACATTTCATTCACACATGAACTGCTATTTTTTAGATGAATTGAGATGTTTAGATTAGATTACAATTATTTAGACACACCAAGTACATTTTCAATTGATTGATTATTATTATGATGATTCCAATATAGGCCCACTTGCCTGGCCAACTGAAGATGTGAGCAGAGTGGTTGAATGGCATTGACTTGCTGGCAGTGTTTGCTAATTCACAACAGGGCTTTGTATAAGAGATACTCCACGCCTGGCCGAGAGGTTGTGGTGGTTGGAGGCTGAATTGAGAGAGCACTGTCCTAGCTTTGACTGTGGGCCTTATGTTTGCATGACGCCATTGCCTGAACGTAGATTTTTTTAAAATGACTTTGGTGCAATTTTCACAAGTACAGTGAAGGAAAAAAGTATTTGATCCCCTGCTGATTTTGTACGTTTGCCCACTGACAAAGACATGATCAGTATAATTTTAATGGTAGGTTTATTTGAACAGTGAGAGACAGAATAACAACAAAAAAATCCAGAGAAACGCATGTCAAAAATGTTATAAATTGATTTGCATTTTAATGAGGGAAATAAGTATTTGACCCCTCTGCTAAACATGACTTAGTACTTGGTGGCAAAACCCTTGTTGGCAATCACAGAGGTCAGATGTTTCTTGTAGTTGGCCACCAGGTTTGCACACATCTCAGGAGGGATTTTGTCCCAGTCCTCTTTGCAGATCTTCTCCAAGTCATTAAGGTTTCGAGGCTGATTTTTGGC